GCGAAGCCAGAGTTGGAAGCAATGTCCCTAAGTGACATCCGGAAGTACGGCGGCAAACGCGTGATATACAGAAGTGAGGAGGCGCCGCCAGAAAACCAGCGACAGGCAGGGCTCCCGACACTCGCCCCAGGCCGGCAGGGCTGGGTGCCCCACCGCACTCAGGAACATGCCAGAACCCGGCGGGGCAGGGGGGCGGCGGCCGTGTTGCGTTTGAGAGAGCTCGCCGTCCAAACTAGTGCCGATGAAACGCACCGTGTGATTTAAAGGCCTCTGCTCTGCCCCAGAAAAGGAGCTGTTTCCTGCTCGCGGGAGACAGAGTGTGCTGCGCCCTTTCTCCTTTGGACCCGAAGGAGGTCCATCTCCGCCCACAGCCGCTGAAAACCCGAGGCCGCAGCGGGGCTGCACTGCACCGACTAAGTAAGGACAGACAGACGCCCCAGACACTAGGTACACACTGTGCGGAATGAGATCAGACTTTGCCCCGAGATATGGGCCCTACCAGCACGCTACCCCGCCAACCTCGCAGTGTTATGTGCATACAGGGCACTTCCTCCCCATCACACATTGCAGAAGTCGCCCCTTCGGCGCCCTGGCCCGTCCGGCCCCGTGCTCTGTGCCAGGCGGCCACGCCCGCACCGCCGCCCACGGAGCCCTGCTGAGACGGCCCCAGGGCTCCCGCGCCCTGTGCGCCCGGTGCGGCTCTGACTGCGGGGTAAGGAAAAAGGGGATGTTTCTGCTGGGTAAAACCCAGGCACGAGCAAAACTGAAAACTTTTTATACGGGAGAAAAATAACTAGATGTCATGAGAGAAAACAGAGAATCAAAATACGGACCCAAATACCAAGGGCATTTTAGTTCACAGTGAAGGCGGCATTGTATCAGGAAGGGAACCAGGAATTCACTGGCACACTCTTGGGAGGAAAGAGCTCAATTCCTAATGCACACCCTGAGTTGGGTGCCTCAGAGATCTAAATACAAATTATCAAAAGATTTAACATGTATCAAGTAAGCAAATATAAACTAAACTGTAACATTTCCAAAAGGACCCATGAGTGAAGTTAGAAAAGACCTCCCGAAGAAGAATAAAAAAAACGGTAAAGCTGAACACACTTTTTTCTCTATAGAATAAAAGTTAAAAAAAATCCCAAGAACCAGTGTCAAATGAAAAAATATTTACAACATATATGGCAGCAAGGGCCTAATTTCCTTAGTGTACAAACTGCTTTTATAAGTTAGGGAGAAAAAATAATCTAAGATGAAAAGAGGCAAAAGGCACGATTTCGCAGTTTTCACAGAAAGAAATGTTTCAACTGTTAAATACAAATGAAGAGTGAAACTTACTAATAATTAGATTTGTGCAAATCAAAACAAAAATGAGATACCAGCGTGACTGACAACCCTTTGAAGATGTTGGGGTGGAGGGGGGCTTGGGGGGCTCTGGGCTGCCGTGGAAATATAAACCCATGGGCCCGGGGGAGGAAAACCTGGTGATCAACATTTACAGCGCCTTCGACTTAGCATCCCCACCCATAAGGACATATATTATGAATGTATTTACAAAATCTTGCCAAGATAATCTATGAGGATGGGTTCCTTACAGCCTTTGCAACAACAACAAAGTGTGGAAGGAAAGAGAGAAGAAGAAACAACTAAATTGACCATCAACAAGAAATGTATGAGGAATCATTTAGCCCTGGCTGGTGTGGCTCAGTGGACTGAGCACTGGCTGGCCAACCAGAAGGTTGCAGATTCTATTCCCAGTCAGGGTGCAGGCCTGGGTTGTGAGCCAAGTCTCCAGTTGCGGGGCGGGGGGGGGGGGCAGTAAGAGGCAACCGATCTGTGTTTCTCTCCCACTCTTTCTCCCTCCCTCTCTCCCTCCCTTCCCCTTCTCTCTAAAAATAAATAAATACAATATATTTTTTAAAAATCATGTAATAATCTGATGACGCCAAGTACTGGCAAGGCTGTTGAACAATGGGAAGTCCCCTCTACTGCCCCGGGGGCCAGGGCCGAGGAGGAGAGGTACGGGTGCTGACATTTAGGAAAACTTTGGCACCACCTAGTGAAGCTGACCCAGCCCGTGACCTAAACACTCAGGTCCTAGAAATATATGTACCTTTAGAGTTGGTGCAGGTAAACCAAAAGGCTTCCGTAAGTATGTTTGTAAAAGCACTTTTCTAAGTACACCCAAATTGGAAACAATCCAAGTGCCCATTAGAACTGATTTTTTTAAGTGTGATTTAGTATACAATGGAATACAATGAAAATGAACTCAACCACACACCACGGAATAAATGGATCTCATAAACCTAACATCAAGCAAAAGAGGAAGGAAACAACAAAATTCCAGTATGATTTCATTTGAACAGAGAGCACACACAGAAAAATAGACTATTTTATTTATAAATGCATCCACAGAAAGTATCCATTTTTTTCATGCAAGGGAATTGCATTAAATTAAAGGAAATTATAGCCACAAGAGTAGGATAGAGTGACTCCTCCTGGTAGCTAGCGATAAGGCTGCAGGCAATTAGGGGTCCACCGGGGGCTTTGTCTTTTTTTTTTTTTTGACAGGGCAGTAGGTAAATGGCATGTGTGAGGGTCTGGACTTCACCCCAAGGCACTGGTCAGTCATCGAACAAGAGGTCAGCTTTAGAAAGGGAACTGTGAAGGTGTGGACGATGAATTTTGAAAGAGAAGCTAGTTAAAATATGACTTTATTTGTCCAGGCCAGAGGAGACGTCAGTCCTAAACTAGGGCAGAGGGATTAGAAGAGGACTGTTTTGAGATGCCATCAACAAGAGTCAGTAATAATAACAGCTTTTATCACGTGCCTACTGTGGGCCCAGACTCCGCGCTGTCTTCACACCAGCCAGGCAAAACGCGTGTTGGTAGACAAATTTTGCACACAAAAGACCGAACTTCTTTGGAGAGATGATTCACTTGCCCTGAATCACACAGCTACATCATGGCTATTCTGGAATCCCCTGCCGGACCGAGTCCCAAGCCCAGGGAGTGAAGGACGGAGCCATGTCCCGGTTCTGGCTGAGGTAGTGACTTAGATGCTGTCGCACCCAATAGGGACTCGGCTAACTTGCTGCATAGGGTGCTTCTAGGAAGGCTGCGGACTTCCGGGGTCAGTGGCCACTAAAGGTGCAGGCTTCACAGAAAGGTCTGGAATCCAGGGAGTTCCAGATGACTAGGCATCTGGAACTGGCCATTCATGCAGCCATGTACCGAGTAATTATTGAGTGCTAACTTATGCCAGGCACTTCAAAACACTCTGGCAGCAAATAGACCACATCACCACCTTCCTTCACCTTACACTGGAGTGGGGGAGCCAGGTCATAAACCAATTACTTCGTGGAGTCCCCGGATGCGTCACATGGTACAAAATAAAGCAAAGAAGGGGAGGAGTGTCTTAAGAAAAAAATTTGCATTTTTTAATGGAGCGATTCTGTGGTCAAAGAGGAAACACTGGGAAGGAGGGCCCAGGATTCTGCTCCTGACTCTCCAATCATTCCTCCCACCACCTCCGGCTGCCTTTTCTTACACACAACAGCCAGCAAGTGACTCACTTCCCTTCGGCTGTAACAGAAACACGGTAGGCTGGTGGCTTAAACAGCGAGCATTTATTTCTGTAAGTTCTGGAGGCTGAGAAGGCCAAGATCAAGGTGCCGGCAGACTGAGTGTCTGACAACAGCCTTGGCCAAGGCAGCTCTCCGGATTCTCTTACCAGGGCGCTCCTCCCACTCATGGGGGCTCCACATTCAACACTAATCTCCGCCTCCCGAAGGCCTCTAAATACTAACACCCTGGGGATTAAGTTTCAAGATATGAAGGGCAGGGGGCGGGCGGGGGGGGGGGGTGGCATCTGGTCTGCAGCACCAAGGGGGGGAATCTCCCCCCATAAGGAAGCAATGCTTTCTTACTTAAGTCCTTTCGACGTTCAATCAAAACAAGCCCTTTCCAGCAACATGCCAGAACCCTAAAATATGTAAGGCTTTCTTGCACCTAAGGAGCTGGAAGCGTGAGAATGCTTGGAAGCTGCTGAAACAGCGACAGTAAACATTTTACCAGCACTCGCAGGGCTTTCGGATGTGTGGATGTGCCAGCCCAGCAAAGCGGACCCAACACCCAGCCTGCAGTCCTCTGCGATCTGGACACCTGCCTCCCGCACCTCGACTTGTAATCGTTGGGCTCCCAGGAGCTCCCACAGGGGCCTGGCGCCCACAGGGGGCCGAGAGGCCCGGAGGTGGCCCCCTGGCAGGAGGCGGGGGTCGGAGCGCAGGGCCAAGCCGAAGTCACAGCGCCAGGGCGAGTCCTGAGTCCTGCCCCAGCGTCCGCCCGAGACGGGACTCCGCGCGCCTGCGTGCGATTAAGGGTCTGTGGTCCCCGGGGCCGTGCTGCCCGTTCCCGAGACAGAACCGCGAGGGCGGGACCCCGAGCCGGCGCACAGGCAGCCTGGGCGGGCGCGGCCACCACACGGCAGGGCTCGACTCGGGCTCTCGACAACAGTGATAACAGTAACATTTATTTCTCCGGGAAACGTGCAGGCCTGCCGAGCCCTCAACCCCTTCCCTCGGCCCCTGCAGTTGCCCGACACGAGGCGCACTGGCCGCTCCCTTCCCACGTCCGCCGAGCGCGCTCCTACTTGGCGCACGCGCCGTACCAGCCTGCGCCTGGGCTGGCCGCGGGGCGCCTAGACGCAAGCTACGGCGGCCGCACTGAGGACAAACTACCTACGCGCGCCCGTTCTGCAAACCCAACCCGGAAAGCATGGGCGGGCAGAGTCACTGTGGAAAGATGGCTACAAAGGCATTTGTGGACGGGACTACATAAATAAATTTGGGAGTGGAATGGGTAAATCTGTGGGCAACGGTAAGGAGCAAGACATTTCAGTCTCTGGCTCGCAACGAGGAGCTTAGAACTGTCATTCAAAGGCGCAAAGGGAGCCTCGCGTTGGAGGCGGGGCCTCGCTGCGCCCTGCGTGCGGGTGGGCGGGGCCTTTTCGAGCCACGCCCCACCCTGCGCGAGGCCTGGGGCGCTGCACCCACAGACGCGCAGACACACACACACACTTCGCGGCGCACTTGGGGTGTGCACCAGCCCTTCTGAGGTGATCCAGGTGAGTGCGTGCAGCGAGGCGCGCCGGCCCTCGGGGCCACTTTAGCCCCTGCTCTGGGCACCGCCCCGACCCTGTCATCCCGAGCTGAATACGGACTCGCTCGTTCGCCCTCTCCTCCCTCCTGCCTGGATGGAGGTCCTTTCTACCTTTCCATCCCCGTCGCCCTGCACCTGCCCTGCATCCTCCCCGGGGCGGGGTGGGTTTGCAGCGTCTAAGCCGGGCCTGGCCCTGCCATCTAACTCGCGGAGATTCTCAAGGTCAACCCTCCCAAGTCCCTTCTTCCTTCCCTCTCCTCCTGTCCGCCGGCCGTGCCTCCCGAGCCCGCACGACCTTGCCGGCCGCAGCTCTGCTGCAGAGGATGGGCGGCCAGGCACAGCGGGGCGGTGGGCAGGGCAGGCCCGCCGGCAGCACCGGGTTTCCAGCGGCCTGGAGCGCGGCGCCCGCGGCAGCTGTGGCTGTGCTGCTAGGGACCTTCGGGAAATCCCCAGGGCACCGTGTTTGTCATCCTCCCGTTCCGCGGAAATTTGCATTGGAAATTGCATTGGTCAATTTGCTTTGGAACCTTAAAGTAGGCACTTCCTACCTCTGCCTTAGAGCGGGAGCCGTGCGCGGGAGGAGGCGGGATCTTCATTCACGGTTCTGCCTTGGAGTTCTGACAACTTCCCCCTGTGTGGTGTCGCTGCGGGGCGGTGGAAGGGCCTGGAGACTCCATGGTGAGTCATCCCAGAGTTGTGGCTTCTCTGCTGATACTTTCCGCGGGAGTCACGAGGTTATGAGCTACATTGTAGCGTAGGGAACAAGTGTGGGAAAGGAGGTGAAGGGAAAGCGGAGACGGAAGGCTGGGTAGGAGAGGGGGTGGGGTGCCCTGGATGAAGGACGCTTACCGCTCTGCAGAGGTGCCGGGACCTAGGCGTGGTCCTAGGCGTGGTCACGCAGAACTGCCACCGGCGTCGGGGTGTAGCCACCTCTGTGCCTGCGTGTGCCTGCGGGCTGGAGCAGGGCTTCCCTTGGGAGACCTGAGGTCACCGAGGGCCTGCAGTGTGGGGAGGCTCCCACGGGTACTGGTCAACGTGACAGGCAGAGTTTTGTTTAGTTCCGTGAATTCAGTTCAGTGAATGTACTTCGATGAATGTGGCTCATCCCAACTGCCTGGGTCCGGGGATCCCGAGTGTTTATCCTCCCAGGGGTTCAGTGTAAGGGAGTCCAGTCGAGCCGGCATCGAAATGCAAGCAAATACTTTTCAGCCCCTTGGAAGATGGGTGTTAAGCTTCCCTCCTGACACAGCGTCACAGAAATAGAAAACTTTGTCATGCATCTTCCCCCTCCCCAGCCGATGTCACTATATATAAAACAGGGCTGGTAGAGAGAGACGCCGTGGCTAGCCGTAGAAACTGCACCCCAGGCTTCCTTACATGAAGGGACAAAACAGAAGGGCAGTCTCCCCGCATTTAGAAGGGCTCCTGGTGGCCGGGCTCTCCAAGGAGCGAGTCGCGAAAGGGAACCTTCTATCAGGAGGACAGCAAGTGGACAGAGGGGACGGAAAAGGAGGGCCGTAGCCCATGATCGAGAGAAGTGCTGAAGAGCCCCTGAAACGCCTGGAACGACACGGATGACACATCGACCTGTCAGAGAGTCATCCTTCCTGAATATCCTGCATTGAAATATCCTGTCCCCTGTATTTGTCTTTAAATATTCTGAATCCACACTCGGAACGCCATTGCTAGCCGTGTGTGACCGTGGACCGTTTTGCATTTTTAAGGCAATGTTTGCTTAAAAGGATAGGCTGCTACGGTTTTTGCAACGGACTTACGGCTTCCCCCCCCCCCATGAGTATACCATCCTCCTGGAAAGAAGGATCTAGCAGCTGCCAGGGAGGCGACTGCTGTGTGCAATAGAATTCCCGAGTTTCCCACGCCCTCTTGTGCAGGGCCGAGCTGCCTAGTGTCGTGGGGACAGCAGCAACAAGGAGGCGGGACAGGTGTGCGGCCTTCCACAGACGTGTGCAAATACCTTTATGGATTTCAGCATTTGGAACCTTGGGGCCCGCCTCCCCAAGTCTCCTTCTGGAGTTGACCTGTTTATTAGCGAGACTCGGGTTCTAATATTTGGGTGCCTTAGGACACTTTTTAAAATAAGTGATGTTTGATCTCTCCAGGCCGAGAAATGTGAGTGACTGGCACAGACAGGCGTGGACAGTTAGACTCCTGTCCTGGGCGGGAGCCAGCAGCCCGGGCGGGTCCTTCCCTCCTGGCGGCTGGTACCCAGTGGGGACCTGCGGCTGCTGGGACTTGACGGCCACCCGCCGTGTCTCTTGGGATGGAAAATCCAGGTGGTGTCAGTGTGACCCATTCGAGATTGTTTTTTCCCCCTTCCCTCCTCTGGGAATCAGGGTTGTGTTTCCCTGGGGACTTCAGTTCCTGTCTAATGCCAGGTAGGGACAGGTTGCAGAAACAGAGGGCCAGTCCCTCTGCGCCTGGCTCCTTGCAAACCTGGGTGCCTCAGAGGCCGGAGGGCGTTTTTCCTTCCTGTAACCTCTCCTTGTTTGTCATAATACCGACACTCAATATTTTTTTAAGTTACTTTCTGGACCTTTTTCAAGGTATTTTTTTTTTCCTTCCTATTTAGAAAGCTCTCAGGCTTTAATTAGTCACAGATTTAGAGTTAATTATTAGCTTTCTCTTCTTGCTAATAGTGTGCTCAGGAGAGCAGGTGAGGTCAACAGTGGTTCCCACTGGCCAGGCCACCTGGGACTGAGGGCACAGGCCCTCACACCAGGCGGCCTGGCTGCGTGAGCCCAGGCTGTCCCTGTGACGGCCGTGTGACCCAGGGCCGATGGCTGAGCCTCCCTGAGGCTGTTCCCTCCTTTGCAAGGTGCAAGCAGCAGCCCCCCCACGGGGCCGCCGCCAGGGCCGTAATGAGTTAAGGCTGGGGGACTCCTCCGAAGGTGCGGCCTGTGATACACGCGCTGGTGATAAGTACTGGGAACAGTAGTGATTGCTGCAGCCGCTCTCCCTGCAGTCCGCTCACTGCCCTGACACACGGGTCCCCTGTCTCCGTCTTCCCCGCGTGTGCTTGCAGTGTTCCCTGCCCGCGTTCGCTCACACATCATGGCATCTGTCCCACGGAGCCTTCGCCTCAGTCCGCCCCTCCTGTTCCACGGCCCTCCGAGCTCTGTCCCTCCACTTGTCCGTGTCCCTCCTTCCGGTCTGGAGCGCCGCCGGGGCCCGCCCCTCCCGGGGAGCACTCTGTTGAGTAGGGGCGTTGAGCAGGGCTTGGTTCCGGAAGGAGAGGAGCTGCCCTGAGCAGCGCCGAAGAGGGTGGCAGGGATGGGCCTCAGGCAAGCAGTCCCCGTAGGTAAATGCTTTGTCCAGTGGTGACTTGAACAAATCAGCCCCATGGAAGGGAGCATTGAGATTTTTATTTTCTTCTCCTCCGGTGGCTTCTCCCCCAGCCCCTGAGGCCACCGCCCTCGAGCAGAGACTATTCCCCGGACTGTCCCTGGCCCCACTTCCCTGGGAGGCCAGGCTCCAGAGGGTCCAGTGTGGCCTGGGGCTTCTAGGTGAAACGCCCACATCAAGGAACTCTCGCCCCTTCCTGTCAAGTCTTTCATGTCACAAATCTGCCTGGGGAAAGTGCCATCGCACCAGCAGAGGAGCCCGGGATCCGCTCTGTCCTGTTGCAGATCCTCCTCTCCCCAGATCCCTGGCGAGCGAGAGTCCCAGCTTTCCCATGGGACAGACATGTGGGTCCACGCAGACATGTGTGTTCAGTGCCTTTCCACGGAGGTCACGCTCCAGAGAGGGGGCAGCAGGCAGTTTGCTTCCCGGGTCTGAAGGGAGCCAGCGCAGACAGCCGCTGACCCGGAAGCTGCGCGGACCTGAGCACCCAGCCACCCGCCCCTCCCCGGCCCCCGGGGCAGGATCGAACTCCAGCCCTGAGTCCCAAGGGTCAGGATTCAAATGGCCTGTGAAACTTGAATACGTCCTAGGACCAGTTGGTGGCTATTTAACCACAAAGCTGAATATATTTGGATTACGGCACAGCTGTCTCTAAAAGGGACAGACCTTTGTCCTCCTGACTTGGGGTTGTGCCTTCGCGAAGGGTGTGCCGGCGGAAAATTCATCAGGAGCGAGCTGGTGGCCCCACCGGACCCCTAGAGAGCCCTTTCGTTTGAGGTCATGTGGCCACGTGCTCAGAAAGTCAGGGGCGCCTGCCTCACAGGAGGAGGGAGGCAGCCTCAAGCCAAGCTCAGCATAGTGAGCCTCCTGTCTGTGGGCGTGAGCCTTGAACTCCAGCTCCCTGGAGGGGGAGGGGGCACGTGGGGAGGGAGCTGGGAATCGAGTGGCCATCACAGGTTAGACCGATGAGGGCCCGTCCCCAGAAGCTACTGCGCTGTCTTCCCCACCTGTGTGGTTTGGAGCCCACGGTCCTCGGAGTGGAACGCAGAGGCCGCCTTTGGCGGACATGCCGGGCGGGAGGGAGCGTGCGGGGCTTCGCTGGAGGGAGCCTGTTCTGCAGAACTGCCTCGGGCCTCCGCGCCCCGTGGAATGAGTTCGGGGGCAGGGGAAGCAGCCCACGGATGGGGTGGGACAAGAGCCTGCACTGTTGGGCAGGCCGAGGTGGGGCCATGAGGGCGGGTCTTGCGGGGGGGGGCGGGGGAGGCTTCCCCAGGCAGGGGCCGGGCGTGCCAGCCGGTCGTGCGGACAGGACTGGACAGTGGGCCGGCCGAGGAGGCGGGCCTGCCCCTCCGCCCGCTTGCGCCTTCCGCCTTCCGCCTGCCCCGTAAAGGCTGCTCTCAGACGGAGGTCCGTAAGCAAAGCCAGGGGCATCCGCAGTCTGCTCCTGTGTCTCAGCCGAGGGGACGGCGTCCTCGTCAGAGCTCCCTCTTCCCTTCCATCCGGGGTCTGCGCCTCTCGTCTCGGGCCCTGGAGGGAGACGCAGGAACAGGTGACTAGTGCATGGCTGTAAAGACCCTCTCGTAATCGGGCGGCCCCCTCTCCCCTCACCTCCTGCTGCCCCCACCGCGGGCCAGGGCCCTTGCTCCCTTCGCTCTCGCGGTTCTGATGGGCGCACTCTTCTCCAGGGGTGTGGTGCGGCGGCCTCTTCCCCCTCCAGGCAGCCGCCGGTGCAGCACAGAGGCCCACGTGCCCCCAGGAGAGCAGCCTGGCCCTTACCTGTGCCGCGTGTGCTCCCCGCGGCACAGGCTGCTCTCCTGGGGTGAGTCGTGTTTGCTGTCTGACTTTCATCATCTCGAGAAGGGCCGGGCCTTGTAGGCAGAGACCCCATCTTGCTCACGCCGAGCCCCCACACCTAAACCGGGCCTGGCAGAGAGCAGGGCCTGTACATTGTGGTGGAATAAAGGAATCCCGTGTTCTCAGACTCGGTGTGCTGTCCGCGCCAGGACCCCCGCTCCCCTTGGGAGCCTGAGTAGACCAGCCCTTGGCAAATTTGTATTCCAAGCAGCATCTGAACTAACATCTAAGTCAAAGCACATCATTGATGGGTAGAAAAGTCTGTACCTCCTTATTTAGGGCATGTATTTCTTACGTGGACAGACACGCGTGTGCCCTCACCACTGTGTACAGTGTCTTGGTGTTTGGATCAGTGCTTTGTTTGTACCTAGTTGACGTCACTGAATCCCTCACACCGTCCGGTGACGGTCACGGTCAGTATTCGCCCATTTGTAGAGAAACTCGGTGTCCCCAGCGCGTGGAGGCCGAGCGTGCGCACAGGCCCAGGCCGGCTCAGCCTCGCCGTCTGGTCTCCCAGCAGTGTCCCCACCGGCGAGGGCGGGGCCGTGAGCCCTGCATTCCAGCCTGGCCGGGGTGAGACTGTCCCCCAGGGCATCTCTCCTCTGCACTCAGTGACAGAGGGCGTCCAATTAAACGAGAGAAACTGCCCTGGCCGGTGGCTCGGTTGGAACGCGGTCCTGCACACCGAAAGGTCGCTTATTCCATCCCTGGTCAAGGCACATGTCAGAGGCAACCGATCCATGTCTCTCTCTCTCTCTCTCTCTCTCTCTCTCTCTCCCCCCCTCCTCTGTTCCCTCCCTCCCTCCTTTCCTCTCTCTTTAAAATCAATACAAATTTTATATCTATGTATCTATATATCTCCATCCCTTCAGGTGAGGATTAAAAAAAGAAAAACTAGACGGAATGATTCCCAGGTTTCAGGGACCCTTCTTCAGACCTTCTGTTTGCTCTCCTCCCAAGCGCCCTGTTAGGCCGCCTCCTGCCCGCTGGGGACCGCCGGCTGGAAGCCCACAGCCGCACAAGAACGCCGCCTGCCGCTCCCCCACCCGTTCGGTTTCCGTCTTGTGGGGGCTTCCGGAACCGAGTTTCTGACCATTGCTGTGACGGGAAGGGTATGGAATGGGCTGTCTGCTTGCTTATTTTCTGCTTCCCCCACTAGAAATGAGCCTCGCGAGGGCGGGGCCCCGAGTCTGGCTGTGACCCCCCTCACCTGCAGCCCGGCCCAGTGGAGGGTGCGCAGGAGGCGTAGGTAAACGAGGACAGGTAAATGCACGCACGCTCACCCCAGCGCAGGGATGGGCTGAATGGACGCATTTTGCTTTTTCCAGAGTCGGCCCTGGAAAGATGTTTCCTCCTAAATATCCCTGTTTTTTAGATGGCGTATTTGGACACAGCTGGCTACTCAGGGTTCAGAAACGGGGGGAATACATGTAGCTCTAAACTAGGTTGGCTGTTTTAAAACAGCACTTCTAAATGATGAATGCTTAAATGTACATCCACTGTCGTTTGTTCAAACATCTCCTCTTATAACGGAGTCAGGGCAAAGCCGGCCGACAGAGCACCGGTGTGTGTTAACAGACCCGAAATGAAGCGTTTATGAGACTTGCCGAGTGTTGGCCTCGCGTTGGGGCGCAGCCTCTGCCTGCATCTGCTCCTCACGCCCGCAGAGCGGGGCGGGCGCCATTACTGTCTCCACTTAACCAGCTGGAGGCCGGCAGCCGAAAGAGCTACTGTTTCCCAGGACGCAGCTGGGAAGCGTGAGGGCCAGGTTCTGATCCAGGTCGGACCCCCAGCAGTGTTCTCCCCGCGAAGCTGCCCGGTGACCGCGGAGCGGGAGTCAGGACTCAAGCTGGAGGTCAGGCGGGGGGTCTGTGCCATCCAGACACACTGCCTGTCCCCACCGCCTCGTGGCCGGTTGTTGCCAGGACACTTTTATAGACCTTTTTGGGTATATATTTGCTCCTTCTGGAAACTTTAGAAAAGTGCAAAGGAAGGTCTACAACTCAGCCATCTAGAAATAAGTAGGCTATGATTTTGATATTTTCTTCTTTAATCGTCTTCTATTATTGAGAAAACTAAGACCCTACACATACACGGGATTTTCTTACCTCGGATGCTATATATGCTAACCCTGTTCCGCCAGCTGCTATTTTTGGATGCCCCATTTTCATCGCTAGTGTGCATCGCGTCATTCCTTTGGTCCTTGTTGCCCGGACGTCTGTACTGTTTCCGCATTTGTGATTATAAATAGTGCCAAGGTGAATGTCTTTGAACCAGAGAGGTTTCCGGTGCAGTCATCAGCCAACAGGCGCAGACAACATCGAGCGCATCAGCAGCCCGCGGCCAGGCCGTGCTGCGCACCCCCCGGCCCCAGCGCCAGCCAGATGCTGTCGGGTGCACCACGGGGTTTATTCTTGTATCGTTTTTTATTCTCGTGTGACTTTGCACACGAGCAGACCTGCTTTGGCCCCACCCTGCATGCCCCTGAACACAATCGCATTTATACAAACCAGGAGTTTTAACGTACATCCTTGAGCACTGGATGGCGGGTCGCAGACAAGCCGGTGGCTAAGGCGGAGCCCGAGAGGGCGCCTGGACGGGGCTGCGTGTCAGCAGCCGGTAGAGAGCAGAGCCTGGGGCGGAGCCCCCACCCGAGCACCGTATCTGGTGGGGCAGATGGACGGGCTACTGGGACAGAGCAGGGGAGCGCCGCTGCCAGAGATAGGGCAGGCGCCACTTATCAGCCTCGGAGCGGGCGCCGGAAGCTGTCTCCGCTGCGGGGCGGGCGGGCAGAGCCGGAGCTGGCCGTGACTGCCTGGCGCGGCTCCTGGGGGCCCCGCCTCCCTGCCCGTACCCCCGCCCCTGTCCCAGTGCGCGCACCGGACTGAGCTGCAAAGGCCCATCTCTAAGGCCTGGAAATGTCCCTCTCCTTGCCCCAGATTCCTAGGAAAAAAAGAATTCAGGTGACAAAGGTGTTTGGAATCCTGAGTGAATTAAGCTGACTCTTTCCCTCGAGGACAAGCCTCCCCCGTTTTCAGTCCCTGCTGGCTGTGTGCTTTCAGCAGCCGTGGGGACAGAGCCTTTCTGGGTTCTGACGACCTCCTCCCAAGTAGCCCAGACATCAGTTGCTTCTGTTGTTTCAACAGGGACTTTGGAGGGGAAACTAAAGAAAACTTAAATAGGCAGGGCGCTTCCTTCACTGTGGGCAGCGCCAGGCGACGAACATCGCCTCAGTTGGAGGGCGTCGTTCCCAAAAGCCCCCCCGAGTGGCAGGTGGCTCCACAGGTCCCACAGGAACCTGGGAGCACACAGCCGTGCTTGGCACAGAGGCGTCCGCCAGCGTGGGCCTCCGCAGAGCGCGGCTCCATGTGAGCGCGCGGCACACGAAGCTGCCTCAGGGAGGGCAGGCCGTCTCCCACTCCCCCCCAGGACTCTGCACACACACACCACCCCGCTGCCCCCCATCGCCTTAGCCAAGTGCGAGGGGCGCGGCGGTCGCTGGGTTGAACCCCCCCGACTGCGATTCTTCTGCTTTCGGGGAGGAGCCGCCTTGCACACCCTGGATTCTGGCTCTAGGCCTCTGAGCGCTTGCTGCCGGGGGTTCGCCGCCTGCCGCTGACTCCTGCTCAGGAGGCGCTGGCCCGGCCACCCGGCCTCTCCGACCCTGCGCCCCCGCACATCGGAAGAGCAGAGGCGAAGGACGAAGCCACCAAACGCCAGCAGAGGCTCTGCCTGGGCGCGCTGGATTTGGGGACGAACCCTAAAATGCGCCCTGGCCTTATCTCCGCTCCCCCCGCCTTCCTCGTGTGTAAAATGGAGTGATGGGGTTTGGGGAGAGAGTGAAAGGAACCCGGAAAGTCCTGCCCAAACACAAGGCGCCCCCACGTGGCAGGGGCCCGGCACCCCGTCTGCAGGTTTGGTTCTGGAAGCCGACTCCCGACTTGCAAACTTTAACCTAAGCCAAATGTGCTCAGTGTCACTGTTCTTAAACAGGCAGCTGGTGACACAGTGAGAGCTTATTGGAAGTGGCCCAGTGGCCCTGCTATGCCCCATCCCGAGGCCACCGGGCAGCGCGCGAAGCTGTCATCATCCGTTTTCAAAGAGGAGCTCGGAGCACAGCCCGCTCTTCCGTTCTGAGCTGACTCCCTGCGCTTTGAAAATGACCCTTCAGAAGCAGGGTGGGGCGTCGGCCCAGAGGGCAGCCCGTGTCCTCGCCCCCTGCGGCCACACAGGACGGCCGGAGGTGTGGCCAGCAGGGGACGCCTGTGCGGAGGGTGGACACGGCCCTTTTCACTGAGGCCCCGTCCTGGAGATGGGGCGCGTGGACGCCCCTCACAAGCAGCTCAGATGTTCGATACACCTCCCAAATGTCGGGCAGATCCAAGCACGCGGGCATGAGAGAAACCGGACCATAAGACCGGGAACTTTGTGTGAATGTCGCACCCTTGGGTGACACACAGCAGTATCCCCAGCCACCTCCTCGACGCATCGTTCACGCGCCCCTCTGCCCGGCCGGTGTGCGCGCTCCGGCCGTGCCCCTGCCTCACCTGTACCTTGTCCCCCAGAGTCAAGATGGCCGTCCTCTCCAAGGAGTACGGGTTCGTGGTTCTGACCGGCGCCGCCAGCTTCATCATGGTCGCTCACCTCGCCATCAACGTCTCCAAGGCCCGCAAGAAGTACAAGGTGGAGGTGAGTGGCGCACACGGCGCGGGCCTGGGCTTGCCCGGGTGAGAGCTGGTCTCGCATCCCGGAGGCACAGGGGAGGCTCCAAGGGGCCCTCAGCGGTGGCCACGCCGGGGCTGGCCCTGTTGCAAACTCCGCCCCTTCCCGGCAGGAAGGGGGCGAGAATCTGGGGTCTCGCTGGGAGCGGTTTCTGCCTGGCTCCCTGTGGCCCCCTCTGTAGAAAGGCCAGGTGGGCTGGCAGGAGACCAGGCTGCCTTGGGCCGGCGCTCTTTGCCAGGAAGGGCGCTGCTTTCTAACGAGGGTGCAACGGCCGCGTTGTCGCCTGGTGTGGCCGCCTCCGGTGCCGTTCTGCCTCCCGGGTCGAGAACGCGCGGGGCTGTGTGAGCTGGGGCCGCGGTGCAGGGCGCGGGGAGGAGGCCTCTCAGACGCCTCTGATGGTCCGGGCTGGGCCGGGGGGCGGCCACTGAGGTTGTCCCCGGCGAGAACATCGAGGTGTCCATTTCTGTTTAGTAACTGACAATGAGACTCCCCCGTTGAAAGCCTCTTTTAATGTTTTCATATCTAGTTTCTCGGTTGGTTTTTTTTTTTTTAAATGGACACGTCTGTTAACACTCTCCTACCCTCTGTGCCTGTCCCCCACGGAGGGGCCTCTTGCAAGGCTGGGGCAGCTGGTGACGCGGGGCAGCTTCCCTGGGCTGTCTTTGGAGTGCGTGAGAAACGGGGCGTGCCGGCTTCGCACGAGCTGCCCCTGTCCCTTAGTGCCGGGCGCTCACAGACCCGATCACAGATGCCTCTGGGAACCCAGCCCGTTGCCGCTAGTACTGAGCAGGCATCGGTCACCTACCGGGGGTCCGGCAGGAGGCGCGTGGGGGTAGAGTATCTGGCGGTCGACGGCGGCTGTCTTGACGTCTGACCAGCAAGCCCCTGTGTCCACAGTACCCCACCATGTACAGCATGGACCCGGAGAACGGACACCTCTTCAACTGCATCCAGCGAGCCCACCAGAACACGTGAGTGGGGCCGCGGGCGCCGCGCCCGGCCTTGACTGCCCCGTTTGTCACAGCGATGGTGCCGATTGAAAGTGTCCCTTAAAAAACTTGTAAGTGGCCCTGGCTGGTGAGACTCAGTGGACTGAGTGCCGGCCTGTGCACCAAAGGGTCGCCCGGCTGATCCCCAGTTAGGGCACCGGCCTGGGCTGCGGGCCAGGTCCCCCGCAGGGGGCGCGGGAGAGGCAACCGCACTGATGTTTCTCTCCCTTTCTCCCCTCCTTCCCCCTCTAAAATAAATAAATAAATAAAATCTTATTTTTTAAAAAAGCTTGTAAGTGAACAGACTGAATGTTAAGCAAAGTGAAGAGTGATGGAAGGGGGGGACTCTGGGTAATCTTTTCAGGACGGCCCCTAGCGTCGTACTGACCTCAATGGGTGCGTGGCACGTCCCCGCCAAAGAGACGTCGAGTCTCCTGGCCCCGGGGGGGGGGGGCCCCTGAGCACGCGCTGAGTCACCTGTCAGAGGGGTGGGCTTTCACTCCGGTTTCTCAGCTGCCTCTGATCTCAGAGGTGGGTCAGGGGCCGGGTCTTCCCCCGGACAGTGTTTATTTCACTCTCTGGTGTCTAACTTGGCAAAGAAAAAGGTAAAGGGCTCCCCATTTTACATGAACATGCTTCCCGGGGCACCTTTTCAGCAGCGCCTTTCCTCTCGTCTGCAGGTTGGAAGTGTACCCTCCCTTCCTGTTCTTCCTGGCCGTGGGGGGCGTGTACCACCCGGTGAGTTCATCCGGGCTTCCGTCTGACACCGCGTGTGCCACCTAAGCACTGTGTGTGTAAGACAAGTAACATTCACTTGCTTCTTACAGAGTTCTTTAGAGTAGGTAGGCTTTCCCCTGCTTTTTTTTTTTTTTTTTTTTTTTTTTTTTTACAGAGGAGGGGCAACATCTTGGATACCCTGTAACTTTCTCACGGTCAAATAGCTACAGGGTAGAAGGGTCAGAATTTGAACCCAGGTGTGACTCTAGAAGGCTTGTGTCTGCAGGTGTTTTGCTTTGCATATTCACTCTTTGTGCGACAGACATTTGCTGATCACAGGAGGTTCCCAGGGGGACCTCCCAGGCTGACACCTGGTTTTGCAGACCTGACCTGCAGGCACCTGAGTGTATGACGTAGCCCGTTAGAGGTGGGAGGGGGCGGGGGGTTGGTCTGCGCTGATTACTGGCATTTGAGTCCTGCCTTGGACAGGAAGTGTCTCCCCTTAACCGATTCCAACCAATCGCAGGTGTTCCCACTGCTGGTAGGAAAGCTGCATAGTCCCCGGCTGGTGCCAACCGCCAAGGACCCGTCCGCAGCTCATGACCCGCCAGGGCAGGGACCCCCGCCCCAGGGAGCGAAGGGGTGAACTTTGCGCTAAAACGCTGTGCAGTCGGCCCTAGAGGGCCGTGCAGACAGATCTTTCTGTTCCCTGAACGCAAACACTAACTTAGCCCCTTTTTTTTCCTTTGCAGCGAATAGCCTCGGGCTTGGGCATGGCCTGGATTGTTGGACGAGTCCTTTACGCCTATGGCTACTACACAGGAGGTCAGTGCACAGCCACCCACTGGGGACACACAGTGGAGCTCCGAGGCTACTGTGTCTCCTGTCCTAGGGGGGCTTTAAGGAAAGGGGATGTAACTTGATGTTTAAGGCCTGTTACCTTCTTTCTTTTTACTAACCTTTGAATAGGAACAAAACACTGCTTTCACGGAGCACTTTCTGTGTGCCAGTTGCTGTTCTAAGAACTTTGCCTATTGCTATTTGAAACCTTCCAACAACTCTGTGCTATAGATATTACCCTCTTTTATAGATGGGGAAACTGAGGCTTAGTAAGATTAAGGCTGGTGTGGCTCAGTGGACTGAGCGCCGGGTTCAATTCCCGGTCAGGGCACAGGCCTGGGTTGCAGGCCAGGCCCCAGTTGGGAGCATGTCAGAGGCAATCAATGTTTCTCTGGCACATCCATGTTTCTCTCCCTCTCTTTCTCCCTCCCTTCCCCCGTCTCTAAAAGTAAATAAATAAAATTTTAAATAAAAAGAGAAAGAATGATTAAGCCTCTCTGCAGGTCCCAGAGCCCCCGTGGGGCAGCTGCGTGCAGGGGCAGGACTCGGAGCCAGGCAGGCTGACTCCAGACGCCCGCTCCTCACCGTCAGCGTTTTTTGCTGTACTTACCTCTTTAAAGAAGAGGGCAGCTCTGCCAGGGTCCTGGATCAGAGCAGCTCCCGTTATGATCCCGAAATTCTTTTTAAGGTCCCAGCAGCCCCGCCGCGCCACAGCGCTTTGCATAAGGCGGGCCGACCAGGCGGCCTGTGCACCCGCCAACTCCCCGCGAGGCTGCTCCGTGGACGCGGACAGCGCCGTGTTCCTGGCGCCTCCCGGTAACTCCTGCTTTTCCTTCTCTTCCAGAGCCCAGCAAGCGAAGCAGGGGCGCCCTGGGCTCCATCGCCCTCCTCGGCTTGATGGGCACAACCGTGTGCTCTGCCTTCCAGCATCTTGGCTGGGTTAAAACCGGCTTGGGCGGGGGGTCCAAATGCTGCCATTAAAGAAGTATAGGGGGTTAAATGTGCTCATTCACTTTGAGTAACTTTTATTTCCAGTTCCTTTTTTTTTTCTAAATATAATAAAACTTCTCTGGCATCGGCCTCGAATGTAACCCTGACTCTGCGATTATTTCCTCTTGAGGGCCTGACTCCGGGCGGGGGCGGGGGCCGCGGGGGCGGGGCCGCGGGGGCGGGGCGCGCTGGTGGACCGGAAGGTGAGTGTGGTAGCCAGTTCACGGGCACGGCGTCTTTCGCAGCTGTGGAACACCGGGGCTCAGGGAGGAAAGCCTTCGCTCTAGTGAGGACCTGTGATGGCTGATACATAGGATGGCAATGAAAAGTTTTAAAAATCGCTCTTGAGCCCTGGCTGGTGTGGCTCAGCACATTGAGCACCTGCCTGCCACCTGAAAGGTTGTCAGTTCGATTCCCAGTCAGGGCACAGGCCAGGGCCGCAGGCCCGGTCCCCGGTTGGGGTGTGCGAGAGGCAGGCGGTTGATGTCTCTCTCACTCATCGCTGTTTCTCTCCCTCTCTTCCCCCGTCTCTAAAAATAATCTTTTTTAAAAAATTGCTATTGAAGATTGTTTCCTTTGCTTAACAACCGAAGTCGTAGGTTAAAGCGAAGGAGCAGTTGAAACTTGACAGAGATGAACGGAAGCGCCCACATTTGGGACAAAGGCCCGATGTCCTCGGTGCAGATGGGGAGGGAAACACTGAGTGACTAACCGTGAGGGCGTAAAGGCTCTGGTGGACTCGGGGACCCACGCGAGGCGGACAGGGAGGTGGCTGCTCCAGACACGACTGGCCGCCAACTGCATGGACAGAAATAAAGGGTCTAGTCTGCACTGTGCAACATGGAGGCCATGGGCCGGAAGGGCTGTTGGCCTTTCAATTGAGAAAATGGAACAGAACAAGTCCTTCAGGTGCTTTCTCTACATTTCTGGCCGGGTAGCTGTGAGGACCGGAGACAGGACGCGACAACAGGCCTGCGTCTGACACCCGTGTTTCCTGCCGTGCCCTCTGCCCCTCGGAGGAGGGGCGGCATTTGGGGGGAGCGCGCTCTGGTCAGCCGGGAGGGTCAGCCCTGGCCAGGGGCCGCCGGCCCGGGGCATTCGCTGGGAGTGGACGAGACCCGCCCACCCTCCAGGGTTAGCCGGTCCGTGAGGGATGCTCGCCGGGGCGGAGCGACCGGACAGGGAGGCGGTCCCCACAAAGCTGCACGTGTGTCCCTGTGCATCACGGTAACCCGCATGAAAGGGGGGGAGGGTGAAGGAAGCGGGTTCGGGTCCTAACGCTAAGAAGTCATGCAATTAAGAACGTGTGCCCAGCGAGGGTGTGTGTGTTTGTGCCTGTTTGGGTTCTGTTAGATACGAAATACACCTGGAGAGGCGGGGACGCCTGTGGAGGCCTCTTCCCGTCACGTGGGTGGCAGTGAGGCAGGCAGGGGACCTGGGGACAGGTGGGTTTTCACCTTCGCAGTCTTAACAAGGGTGTGCTTTCAAAGCCATCCATCATCTCTGTCATTTTGTCACAGCCTGGGCTCAGATGACGTTCTGTAAGGAGCCCGGTCCATCAGGGGGTGCAGGGCCTCAAGGGGGGACCCCAGGGCTCGGCCCGCTCCGCTCCCCTGGGCTGGGTGCAGTCCAGCCTTCAGGTGGCGCTGCAGGCGACCCTGTTGGGCCCACTCGTTTCTGCTGCGTTCCCTGTCTGGTGGACAGAGAACCAGCCTCAGGACCCCCGCTGCTCTGCTAACGTGGCCGTGTGCGTAGAGTCGCTTTATGTCATGGAAAGACGCTGCTGAGTTCTCCTAGGAGGACGTTAGAGACCACGGGGGGCGGTGTGCCCAGCGGTGAGCGGAGTGGGGGGAGGGGGTGCCTGCACTCACCTCTTAAGTTCTGGAGGCTCCAGAGAGTCCTACGGGGCACCCAGGGTCCTGCACAGGGTGTGGGGGGATGCAGGAGCCGCCTGCTGGAGAAGTGGCGCGGGAAGGCAGCATCCAGGGGGCCCTCCAGGTTCCCAGGGCCCGGGCCTGCCCCACTCCTGCACGGCCACTGCGCGGTCTCTGTCCCTTCCCCCTGGGCCAGCACGCCCTTCGAAGGTCCTGATGCTGGAGGTACGGCGTGCCCCGCAGCATCATGGGGCAGAACCGCAGGGGCGCTTGCCCGCGGGTCTGTTGTCCATAAATGCCGCTGGCCCTGCGCGTTTGCTGGTTGCCTGTCTGCAGATCCAACCACCCCGGGTAGAAAACAGCGCCTTTGTGTCCTCAGCCGCCAATTCCCGACCGTGGACTACGAACTGAGGATCACAAAGTGCCCTTTTCAGCCCACGGTTGGCTGAATGCGTGGCTTCTCAGGGCCCAGGGCAGAGTCAAAAGATACAGCAGATTTTCGAAAGCGCCTGGTGGGCGTGCCCTGTCCTTCCAGGCCAAGTGCACTCTACACCCGCGTTGTCCGATCCAGGTGCCACTGCCGTGTGCAGCACCGGGCGCTTGAAACAAGGCTGGAACAACTGATGAGCCGAATTTACATTTGAGTGTAATGAACTAAATTTTCTGCAGCCGCATGTGGCTCGTGGCTGCCGGACTCGGATACGGCTCTACAGCGGTGTTTTCAGCCTGGGCTGCCCCCCAGATTCACCTGGGCCAGGCCTCCGAGGGCTCCAGCTGCCCTGGGTTGTTTTAAAGCTTCTCTGAATCATGCTAACGTGCGGCCAATGCCGAGGACCACGGCTCTGCAAGCCTGGCAAACTGCTGTGCATAAGAATCACCTGTCAGCCCTGGCTGGGGTGGCTCCGTGGACTGAGCGCGGGCCTGGGAACAGAAAGATCTCCAGTTCGGTTCCCAGTCCGAACACCTGCCTGGGTTCTGCACCAGGTCCCCAGCAGGGGGCGCAAGAGGCAACCCCACATGGGTGTTCCCCGCCCTTCCCCTCTAAAAATAAATAAAATATTTAAAAAGAAAAAAAACAAAAAACCACAATCCACCTGTTGTTAGGTACGGGCCCGCGGTTCCAGGCCCGCGGTGGGAACAGAGATTCGGCTGGCCCGACGGCAGGTGCCGCTGGCCCCTGGCCCACCCAGAACGGCAAGGCTCCACCAGCCCTTCTAATCTACTCATGCAAACATGGAGTCCCGCTGAGCCCACCGACAGGGCAGTTTGGGCTCCTTAGTGCCCGACGGGACTTTAGATCTTATTCCAACTGCAATGAAAAGCCACGGGAAGAACTGTAGCAAGAACGTGGCGAATTCCAATTTGCTTAAAAAGCCGGCGCGTGCTGACCTGATTTCTGGAAGCTTCCACAGCACCGTGGAACTGCGAAGGCCTGGTTTCCTTCCTGCCCTTCGCAGACTTCCCCCCCACCCCCGCCCCGGGACCTCAAAAGAGAAACGAAGTGCGGGCTTTGGGGTAAGGAAAGCCGGGCATCGTTTCGCTCCGGAGGACAGCCTGGCTCGCACTGGGGGTCGCGGAGGGGCGGGGTGGTTCGTGCTTCGGGGGAAGCGGTCAGGGCTCAGGGATGCCGCCCCTTCTCTGTGAGGCGGCCGGGGACCCTCCTTCTGCCAGGCCCGTCCCCAGGCAGCCAGGGGACCTACTGGGCAGGGACTGAAAGGCAGGCAGGAGGAGAAGGGGCCCAGCGGCGGCGGCCTCCTGTACGGAAAAGACCTGCCCGGCCGGGGAGCCTGCCTGTCTCCGCCCCCGGGGCCCCCGGCAAACCAAGTCTGGTCAGGGCTCTCCGCTGGTGCCGAGGAGGGCGCCAGGGCGAGTCGGTCTGGTTTGTTTCCTCTTTCTGGCATTAATATAATTTTTTAAAAAAACGAAAACCTTCCATAAATACCTTTAGCCCAGCAACCTGCCCAACAAAGGCACCTGAAAATGCATTATCACAGGATCTGAGTGGGACCCACTTATACGTGGTCTCGTCCCAATACAGGTTAGTTGGCGGTTCTTCCCCTGAAGAAAGTGCTAGGGAAAGCCGTTGCCTCCAGAAGGTTAGATGCGGGAGGGAGGGAAGAGTACCTTCTGCTTCTTAACTCTTGAAAGGAAATCAAAGTGGTGGAGGAATAAAAAAAAAACCCTCGGGGAACACCGAGCTCTGCGGCACAAACCCTCCAAACCAGAGGCAGGCTGGCTCCAGGGTAAGCCGGCGTGTCCTTACCTGGGCCTTGCAGGCGTCAGCCAGTGTTCACCAGCAAGGTAGTTCGTGCAGGTGAATCCCGGAAACACGCTGCGGAAGACCCCGCGGCACACACCTGGGACCCGCCCATGGGATCAGCTGAGCGATGTTCCCGCCCAATGTGTCTGCGTCCTCACCCCCAGAACCTGTGACTGTCACCTTATGTGGCAGAGAAGACTTTGCAGAGATAATGAAGGCTCTTGAGATGAGACCCCATCGTGGACCATCTGGATGGGCCCTAACGCAATCACGGCGTTTTGGGAAGAGGAAGGAGGCAGTGGGAGCAGAGAGAACTCAAGACGCCCGGCACTGGCTTTAAGGAAAGAGGAAGGGGCGCGGAGCCTGGGCGGGCACGTGGCCAGGCACCACCGCGGTTTCCGCCCACGGAACCATTCCCTCGTAGACCTTCAGAGCCGGCAGATAACAATCTATAGTTTTCAAGGCCCTCAGTTGGTGGCCATCTGCTGAGTTGTGGTAGGAACTGATATTGAGTTAAGGAAGGGCAGGAACCAGGGAGGGGAGCAGGAAGCACAGGTCCGATCAGCACCGGGCTCCAGTCCCGGCAGAGATGCTGCCCCGCCCGGGGCCAGGACACAGCCAATTCTGCTTCTGCGCCTGAAAACACCTTCTCACCTCAGGGCGGGACCGAACAGGATGCGGCACGTGTGCAGACGCGGCCCCGCTCCCACTGTTTTCTTGGGAGTCAGAGGAGCCGCCCGACACTTGCAGCTCCGACTGTATAGGTGGCACAAAGTCCCCCAGGCATGGGGGCGCCCGCCCCGCTGGGCTGGCTCCATGTCCTGTGGCACCAAGGGTCCGATGCCCCGGTTCCATCCCTCCGAAGTGTGCACCTGCCCCTCACAGCCTGGACTCCCTGCAGCCCCGGGGGCTCCAGCTACCGAGTTGGTGTCGGGACAGCCCACACCACCTTGACTGGGCAGGGGGGTGCCCAGTCAGCTGCTTGAACGGCATTTCCGGGTGTGTCAGGGAGCGGTTTCCAGAAGAGATTAGTGTTTGAATCGGGGGGCTGTGTGAGCCAAGGACTCTCCCCAGGCTGCGCCCAGTCCAACCCCTTCGGGCCCCGAGAGCACCCATAGGCCCAGGAAGGGCATCTGCCTCTGCCCGAGCCGAACCATCAGCTGCCCGCTCCGGGGCGTCAGCCGCGGTTCCCAGCTCGGGCCTCAGGCTGACCACCTGCTGCTCCCTGGCCCGGACCAGGCGACTCTGCCGGCTCCCCCGGTCCAGTGCGGATGGCAGGTGGTGGCCTCCTCGACCCTGGGGTCGCGTGAGCCCATTCGTGCAACACCACGTCGCCAGAAGGTACTATTCCACTGGCTCCGTGTCCCTGGAAGATCCTGGCTACCACAGGATTGGACAGTCACCTCGGCCCTGAGAGGAAGGGGCTCCCACAGCCCACCAGGGCGGCCGGGGCGTGGGCAGGGCTGGAGCGCGTGACCACACTGAGACCCGCCCGTGCTCTTCCTGTGGAGCAGGGCAGGCCCTGCCTTGTGCACCTCACAGCCGTCCCTCCTGCGTCCTCCAGAACCTCGAGGGGTGTTTGGTTTCGAAACATGAAGCTGAACGGATTAACGTGGGATTTATTTAATTCCAGTACCGTGCGGTGGCCTGCAAACAATCTGTCCATTTCACAAGGAGATGCGGTGTCAGAGAGCAGCTGAAGTTCAAAGGCGCAGCGGGAGCGGGGGCGGGGGCGGGGGACCGGGACACGACGCTTTCTCTGGGAGTTCCTGTTCCCACGGACAGACCCATCCAGGGTCTAACCCCCTTCGGTCCCCATTGTCAGCTCCTCAGTGGAAAGACAAGGGGCCAGCGTTTAAAACACATCCATGACCTGAAATCGTCTGTCCAGAGTCCCCCAGGCACCTAGAAGGAGCAAGTCGTTTACAGGAAGCTAGAGAGAGGACGCAGGCAGGGGCCGAGTCTGGGGCCGAGGCCCGACCCCAGAAGTGTGTCACTGGCGGTTTGGGGTCACGCGGACACTGGCTTTGAAGGCAATCGCGACTTTCTGGATTGGAATCTGAAGGCACTTCTGCACGCGGCCCGTCGCCAGGATGCCGGGGCGGTGGGGAGGGGCGGCGGGCACGGCCGCACTCAGAACACAGACTCCACGTCGCCCATCTCCACGCACACAGCCTTCAGCTGCGAGTAGTACTCGATGGCCGCGCGGCCGTTCTCTCTGCCGAACCCTGGATGGAGGAAGACAAGGGGTGAGCATGAGCCACGGCTGCGGCAGCCTGGAAAGCCACCGTCGCCTTTAGAGACGGCCACTGCCCCTCGGGCCTGCGGAAGGACACAGAGCCGAGGACCTGAAGATCGAGGCCTTGCCCGCCCGTGCCAGCCGAGGGGCGCGGCATGGGAGAGTGGCCGGCAGCCCGGCCAGGCGAGACGCGGCCCTGCGGCCGTGCTCGACAGTCTGTCACCCTGCCCCAGACGTCACTAGGTTCTGCCCCTTAAGGGGAGTCCCCAAAACTGTATGGTTCCAGGGTGCACCACTCAAAGGCGACAGAGCCCCGTGCAGGCTCTGTGCAAACCCTTCGAGCGGAGCTGGCTGGGCACACATGTGCTGATCTGGGCGTGTCTCACCCTCACCCCGCGCGGGCATGCCAGGCGCTGCGCCAGGGACTCGGGTTTGGGGAAGGGGGAGGGAGAGGTGGCCAGGGGGGGGCCCATGAGGCCACACTGCAGATCCCAAACAAACTTCCCCTGGGCCGACGGTTACGTGTGAACAAAGCACGCCCCGGTCCCACACTGCGTCGGGGCCTGCGCACAGCTCTGGGGGGGCGCACCCAGGATGAGCGTGGCCGGTGGCCTGCATTCGGGGAGCACCAGGACAAGGCCCAAAAGAGCTGCCAGCGCAGCACCTGCGCCGGGGCCACGGCCGTCGGGTCTCTACGCTGGCCGACGCTGACGGCCACCCGTGCGTCCCAGCCGACGAGGGGACTAGAGTCCGAACCGACGTCCGTAAGAAGAGCAGGAGGCGCCGGTGAAGCCAGACAGGCAGCCACGTCCAAAGGGAGGGCCTCGAGGGGCCGGGGGCGGCCTGGCGCCTCCCGCTGCTCTGATGCACAGGCTCCCCGCGCTGCGGGGCGGGCCCGTGTTGCTTGCTGGGGGGATGGCCTGGGAGGCGGGGCGGGGGGGGGTGTTCCACATGCCACCCAGCAGAACGACAACGACAGTCATTGATGGCCAGGCCCTGGATTAAGGGACTTTTATTAATTTGTCATAATGGAGAAGACAAGTTAATATGTGCTTCCTGAGACACGAGAGACAACTGTACCTAAACCGAACCCGCAGCCTCCACAGCAGACGGTGACCAACACTGTTGGGGCGGGCCCTCGCGCGGGGTTCACTCTCACAGTGGCTGCCGACGGGGGCGGGCCCGGCCGACGAGGACCAACTCACACCGACTCACACCGACTCACACCAACTCACACCGCCAGCTCCTCACCTGACTTCTTGTATCCACCGAAGGGCAGCTCCACGGGGCTGGTGTTGTAGTTGTTGATGTAGCAAACCCCGGCCTGCAGCTCCGCCACCACCCGGTGGGCGCGCTGGACATCCCTGGGGGCAAAGGGTGCCGCTCATTCAGCTCCTCTCGCCGCCACTTGGACAGGCAGCAGCCTGTCGGCGCTAACGCGGAGCCTCATGCGTGCTAGTCCTGAACAGGTGCTCGCCATTATGTGTGACAGCCAAAATGGAGGGGCGACCCACATGTCCGCCAGCGTGACACAGGCGTGGCAGAAACACGTGCTGGACTGTTACTTGGGAACAGAGAGGCACGGAGCGCTGACGGACATGCGCCACAGCGAGAGGGAACCCTGAACACATGCTCAGCGAAAGAAGCCAGAAACAGAAGGTCACATGGTGTATCACGCTGCTTACATAAAACATTCAGGATGAGCAAACCCAGAGAGACAGACAGTAGTGCAGTGGCTGCCGGGGGCCGGGGGAGGGGAGGCGAGGAGTGACTCAACGTTCTGGGACTGATGAGAGTGTTCCGACGCTCGGGCACCGCGGGGGTTGCGCAACTCCGTCAACAAGCCAAAAGCCGCTGGTCGCACGCCCCGCATCGGGGGACGGTTCCGCGCGTACGTCGCCCGATGGGGCCGGGCCGTTAGAGCAGCAGCAGCCTAGGGGGTCACGCTCCGCTGCGGCCACTTTTGCCGGTGCCACGGCGGCAGAGCGCCGGCCGAGGCGGAGCCCCCCGGCCCCCACCACAGAGCCGCTCCTCCTGGGGGCCGGCAGGGCAGGGATCCGCTCTGTGTGGCTCCCGGCGTGGGCCCTGGTCCCCCCAGGCCGCAGGACGCCAAGGGTGAGCCCCAGTGCGAACGGGGGCCTTGGGACGATGACGACGGGCTCGTGCAGGTTCATCGACTGTCACACACGGCCCGGCGGTGGGGGCGGTGGTAATACAGGGGCCGCGCGCGGGGGGCGCGGGGCGGCGGGAGAGCTCTGCACCTCCTGCTCAGTTTTGGGGTGAACCTAAAAGTACGCTAAAAAAATTTTTTTTTAGCTGTTCTTTCTTTTAAAGAAGGAGCCCCTCGGTCTTCTCTTCGAGGCCAAAGAGAAGCGGCTCCAGCAGACGCCCCTGGAGACGCGGGTCTCCCTTCCGGGTTCCGGACCACAAAGCTCCAAAAAAATGTGACCTCGGTCATCACCGAAGAAGCGGCAACATCCCCGGGGCGAAGCAGCCCTGGAGAGCCGCCGGCAACGGCCAGGGACTAGCCAACGGGCGCAGGTCACCAGGCAACAGGCGCCGGTCTCCAGGACGTGTTGCTTCCAAATCCCGTTTCGCTTTCGTTAGAGTGGTTGAAGTTTACACAGAAAGGTGTTTATCACACCATCAGCTGGCGGTCCCCTACGCAAGCAGAGGCAGGCCCGGCAGCCCTGCAGTGCGGCGCGCCGCCGAGGAGTCACCCCGAGCCGCGGGAACCCACGCTGCGGGGGGACGCGCCCTCCGTTTACACGCTGAGTTTCTAACCCCTAGACACGCACGTTTTCACGCTTTACGTGGACCAGCACCTTAAATACGGATCCAATAGGCCAGCGAAAAAGAAGCACGTTTTCACCCACCAAGCTTACGGTTCAGCGTATGCTCAGGGGCAGGGCTTTCCGGCCATTCGGGGCCACCTACAAAATGTGACCTGGGCACCCTCTGCCTTTCCAGGAAGGGCCGACGCAAACGCAGCGAGGGAGGCCAGACCCCGTCGCAGACCGCGTCCCCCTGCTTCCCCGCGAGCCGGCGGGGGGCCGTCCCCACGTACCTGGTGAAGACACCAGCAGCCAGTCCGAAAGGGGTGTTGTTGGCTCGTTCCAGGACCTCGGCCTCGGTGTCAAACGGCAGGACAGACATCACCGGGCCGAAGATCTCCTCTCGCACACACGTCATGTCGTCCCTGCAGTTGGCTGCAAGGGGCACAAGGGACCGGCCTCGTGAGGAGTCCATTACCCGGTTCGTCCTGAGAAGGGCCCCCGGCCCCAGCCCGCAGGCAGGCATCACACAGCTCCCGCGACGCGCCCACAGGACGCGCCCGGTGGGAAGGCGCATGGGGACACCCCTCCTGCGTGGCGACTGGACAGTGTCGCAGCGTCACAGCCTCTGTGTGATTTTAAATGCATGTCTGAACGCATCGCGAGGAACCCGCTAGCGAGGGGACCCGCAGGCACAGGCAAGACAGTCATCGCGTCACCTGCAACAGCGGCAACCGGAAGCGGCAACCGGAAGCGGCAACCGGAACGCCCGCAGAGGACAGGACGGCGCGCGTGGCCCGGGGCCCGACTGCCGAAGCTTCTCAAAGGGACGTTTTCGAAGAGAATTTAGTCTGTGAATGCTCCTGACAAAGCATGCACTGAAAAACGCCCGACCTGGGTGAGGTCCTGTCCCAATTTCTGTTACAATGTTACATGTATGATTAATGTTTTTCACACCTTTCCTCTTTTTCTTTGTAACTCTTATTGAGCATTAGAAACAAAGAAGAAAATTCCAGTGTAAAAACATAAACTTAGAAATAGTTCAGGCGGGGTTTATGCGACATGAAAATAGACTTCAGTGCGAGGGGCCAAACCTTTGAAACGATACAATTTGCACTTGACAGTTTAGCACGGGCGCGTGGAAAGACGCGCCTCTGCCGGCCGAGGGCCGCGTGTTGGCGGTCTGCAGAGGGGGCACCCCGGCGGCCCGTACCCGAGGCCGGCGCCAGACAGAAGCGACGGCAGCGTCGGGGAGACACTGGCCGCTGCCGCCGTAAGCGACGCGAGGCCAAGGAACAGCAGGAGAACCCACTATCAACACCAGCTTTGCAGAAGCCAAAGTCTATGAACCGTGTTCACCCGTCCGCAGGGATCACATGTCTCCATCTCTGAAGACGGGGATTAGAGCTCATGCGCACTGAGGTATTAATGACTCCTTGGGGGGTGCTTAAGGATGGCTTACTATGTTCTCACTCTTTGAAAACGAGTAATCCGCGTGTGATTTTCAGGGAGACCATCTGCCAAAGTATTGCTGCTCAAGACAATGCACTGAAGACCAGTCCCGGAAGACGGCCGTCACCTGGCGCAGCCTCCGCGCCCGGCAGGCTCCGCGCCAAGGGTCGGCCGGGGGTGGCGGCGAAGGGCGGCTGACGTGCAGGGCAAGGCTCCTGCCCGAAACCTGACTCGCTCTACTTACCCCACAACATTGAGTAAACGAAAAACAAAAATCCAACATCCAGAAATGCACCAAGTATGACAAAAGTCACCCTCCGGGCCGGCATCCAGAGAAATCCACCATTAGCGCTACCACACGCACTCCGCTCCTTCCTACACGCTTGGTCTTCAAGAGATACAGGATAAACTCTATTCTTTTTTAAATTAAAATACATTGCCAGCTCTTCCTATTCATTAGTAACCACTGGCTCATCCAAGGGCACTGAACATTAGTGGTAAAGCTGACACCACATCAACCTTGGGAACAAAAAACCAGTTGGCTCTACCTTCAAAACAGGGCATGAGGAACCGCCTATCTCAACCTGTCCAGGCATGAGGAAGCCTGGAAAACACACGGGACGTGAGCGTGTGCTACAACGGCGGAGAAAAGCATGACAAGGACCGTGACCTCGGGAGCAGCAGTCCCCGCCGAGCCGGGGCCGACGTGACCGGCGGAGGCCACCCGGCCAGCCTCCCCGCTCACTGGCCACACCGCGAGGTGTTCGGATTGAAAGGAGGCGCTGAAAAGTCCTAAGTTACGTAATTTTTAGAAATCCTGCCATATCGTCTGACAAAATGGTTTTATGATATTGATGACCCATAGTTAAAAGAAAGATGCGTCCTTAACTCTCCTTTGGAGCGACGAAATTCATTATTTTTTTCTACATCAAACATGCACGTTCATTTCTTTGAGTTCCTGCCTTCTAGAACAACAGGTGTGGACCCAGTAGGTCCCAGGTGCCCTAACCCACCTGGTCGTCCCAGGGGAGGGGCGCACGGGGACTCTGAAGGTGACGGAGAACTTCTATTTCTTAAATCCAGGTAGTGGGAACACATCGTCCACCAATGCCTGCTTGACACCACGCACACACTTGGTAAGAATCCTTTTCCACCTGATACTTAATTCGAACCATTTAAAGGCAAACAGGAAGAGGAAGGACATACTCAGTACACAGGGTCTCATGTAATAGCCGTCCTTCAACTTGGGATCTTCGGGGGTGTACAGGTCTCCCCCACACAACACCTTTGCCCCCTGCAAAAAGAAACCAGGGCGCTTACTTCATGTCCACCAGGCAACCCCCCGTGCATTCCTGGACAAATGTGTAGTCACCCCACGGCAGGGACAGGCGGGGGCACGGCCCCGAGAGCCGAGGGGGTAGGGTCCCAGAACGGTCGCCCCTCTCCTGGCCCCACCCGGTCCCCCGTTCCTCACCTGCTCCTTGGCCTGTTTAACAAACCCGAGGACGCGCTCCAGGTGTGGCCTGTTGATGAGGGGGCCCATTCTGGTGTCTTCCAGAAGGGGGTCCCCAATTTTTATCCGCTGGGTCTGTTTCACCACTTTCTCTGTGAATTTATCAAGAATCTCCCTTTGCACAAACACCCTTGTGCCGTTACAACAAACCTGGAAAACAGACACACGTTATCAGTACGCAAAGAGAAAAGGAAAGGGAAGGAAAAAATCCCAAGGTTTCAGCCTAAAAAGCACACACTTGTGCACAGGTTAGTTCCATCGATGAAAGCGCCCCGCGCACGGGGAGGACCACACACGCAATTGTGGGCATGTCCCCCCACAGCACAGACGGTCTGCCCTCTGGGATAAAACTTGTCGTCCCGTGTTTACGTTTTCTCAAGGCCACCCGTGGGCCCGCGTGACCCCGGGGCCTCTCCTCTGCGCTCCTGGCAGCCACTCGGTCTGGCCCACACTCAAGAGGAAGAGGTCAGATGGGAGAAGACCGAGCAAAAAGAGCTAAGAACTCAGGGCTGGAGCCTAATACGAATCCCACGCTCTCGGGAGTCCATGCTTGTCTCCAAATTCGGGCTAAACACAGAAGAAGCTGTAAAAAACATGAACTCTGGTGAGAGGTTTATTTCTCACAAACCTGAAACTACTTTAAGTGTAGTCCAGGACAGGGCCGTTTAATACACGCACTGTGGATAACGAACACCAAGTTCCCTGTCAGGGGAGAAAGTTATAAACGTGGAAGGGCAGAGATGATACAAACCCCGTGGACTGGAATGACTGGGAACTTCTCTGGGGACGTGTGGTGATTAACACAGATGCATGAACAGATGCATGTACATGTGTGTAAACGTGTGCAGGCATGTGCATAAACGCGTGTGCCCGGCTCTGGCCTCCAAGAGGGTCCCCGGGGCAGTGGAACCAGGCACCCATGTCTTGGCTGCTAAGCACCGTTAACCAGCGAGTGGGACCAGGGCTCGCGGGGACACGCTGGTCCCAGAGCTCGGCCGGGGGAGGGCGAGCAGGCGCGTCTGGGACACCAGCTGCGCCGGGGGTCAAGCCCCCAGAGGATAATGCGGGCGAGTCCAAAGGTCACAGGAAGCGGCTCCCACCTGCCGCATCGGCAACTATTTGAGCATCAAAATCAGTAAGTGGCGGGTTATAAGCCCCACAACAGCGTAAGGGTCCGGGGGCCCGTGCTGATAGAATAAATGCATGAAAACCAGGGCGCGAAGGAAAGGCCTTTGTTACTAGAAAGCGAGCGAAAAAAATGCAGACGTTGACAGCAGAGTTGGAAAACTCTGGCGACCGTCACGACGAAAACCGTTTCTGGTGAAAACCCGAAGGGCGCTGCCACACTGGTGGCTGAGGGCCCAATGGGGACCAACGGTCCCGCCGATTCCCACGGGACACTTAGTAACCATGGAGCAGGAAACGGCAGCTTTGTGTGACGACCCACCTGGAGCAGGTGACCCGCGCCAACCACGCCGCAGAGAACAGAACGCGTAACTGGAATCCAGCCACAGGCAGACCCCAAACCAGGGGCCGCCCGCAGAGTCAGGGGCCTGTGCCTGTTCACAGGGGCCAGGTCCTGAAAGGTAGGGCCGACGGCAGGGCCGCTCCAGAGGGAGCGAGAGGGAGGGGACACGGCAGCTTCACGGAACAACCTTCCTCCGTCGGACCTTGGACCAGGAGGAACACTGTTTGCTTTTGCTGAAAGGCCAGCAGTCAAACAAATGGCGGAATCCGAGGAAGGGCTGAGGATCGATTGGGTAACAGTACTATTGATTTGCCGAAGTATGCTGTGCTGATGTGAGAGGACACCCTTGTTTTTAGGAAATACAGAAGTATTTAGAGGTTGGGAATCTTTACGTGTACTATAGAGAGAGACACAGAAGGACAAAGTAAACGCAAGAAAACGTGGACACGGGAGGAACCTGGCTTGAAAGCGCACGCGAATGCTTTGGGCGCTCTCTGAGCAACTTCTCCGGGAGCCTGAAATCGCTTCCAACTACAGGCGTCCGTAGGCCACGCGCGCGATGCCGGGCGGAGCCGCCCGCCAGCCTCGCCCGCACACACGCACGCACCTCGCCCTGCGTGAGGAAGTTGGCCATCATCGCGCCCTTCACGGCGTTCTCCAGGTTGCAGTCCGAGAAGATGATCAGGGGAGACTTGCCTCCAAGCTCCAGGGTGACGGGCGTGATCCCTTTGGCCGCCATCTCCATGATCTTAGGGAGCGAGAACAGACACACTCAGAAGGTGCACGCAAGGGAGCGCATGTGCCACGGGAACTCGGCCCGGGACCTCCAGAGTCGCCGCCGCGGACCAAGCAGCCCCGTCCTCCATACTCACTGTGCTCCGCCCACTTAAATACTCGTCCCCAGGACGCCGAGGAGAACCCACAGGAACGCACTCGACGTTCGAAGAGGGAACTCGTTAAAAAACGACAGAGTGTCCACGTGCTGGGGCTCACGGGCAGACACGCATTGTGCTACTGTCGCTGTGTGCCAGGCTGACAGAGCTCAGAGCCCAGATTAAGGTCCAAACAACAAGTGTGAAATAAGCACCCTTCCTTCAGAGGCGGCTGTTCCAGATCAGTTAAGTCGTCCAACCACAGAGCGGCAGCCCGGGACCAGCCCCGAGACACCGGAGGCGGTGGCTTCTGTCCGCCCGGCTGGGGGACGTCCAGGGGCCTCCCTCCCAGATGAGCCGGGGAGACCGGAGGTCAGGCCCCCACCGCAGGCGCTGGGCGCCCTGACGCTCACAGGCGGGTGCCGTTCGCGCCCACCCAGCCAGGTGCCACCTCACCTTCGAGCCGGTGGGCACACTTCCGGTGAAGGAGACCTTGGCCACGTCCGGATGCTGACACAGAAGCTGGCCGGTGGTGGCCCCGCCCTGCACCACGTTGAAGAGGCCGGGGGGTGCACCGGCCGCGGTGTAGACCTCAGCCAGGAGCAGCACAGACACGGGCGTGAAGGGCGAAGGCTTAAAGACCATGGCGTTCCCTACGCAAACCAACACATACACACACATACAGATGGACGACCCTCTCGGGACAGGACCAGGGACAAACCAAGACCATCTCCAGCTGTTCCCTGTCCCTCCAAATCCTTATTGATCGGCACACGTACCTTGTTCCTGGCCCCCGGGTTCTCTCATCAGACAGACCCCCCCCCCGCCCGCAAGCGCTCGCTCAGTCACCGGCGACCCCACACCCGCGTGGGGCAGGCCTTTCACCCGCAGTGCCGCCTCTGACACCTGCACCGGCCGGACGAGGCCCATTTACAGAAGCTGACACTGAAGCCCAGAGAGGCCAATGAATCTGACGCGTGCCCGACGCCAGGGACGCCGCCCTGTTTCTCCTCCGTAGCTCAGGGACGGGCAGGAAGAGGCAGAGGGCAGCGAGCGAGCACTGCCCTTCAACGCCACGTGCCTTCCCAGCCTGACCCACGTCCTGAGACAGAGTCACCCTCCCCACAGACTTGTCTCTTTAAACAACAGGAGGGGGCTCCGTGACATCGGGCAGCCAAGGCGTCCGCGACGGGAGCCTTGGGCATCATTTCTCTGCGCACAAAGAGAGGCGGGCGCTTGCCTCTGCCTCCTGAATGGCGCCAGTTCCCAAAGTCCAGAAAGGAACTTCCAGGGAGCACAACCTCCTGCGCCGGCGGGAGGAAGCCAGCCTCCAGCGCCCACACTGCCCGCCCGCCTGCCTTCCTGCACACAGAAGCGGATGAGAGGGCCATGCCAGGAACGGCGTGGCCAGGACCTGTGTGCACACGCCCTCTGCGGCTTTGCATGCCCAGCATGGCCCTCCCGACCTCCTGACTCCGGACGTGGAGTTTAGGTGTGGGCGTGTGTGTGTCAGTGTGCATGAGTGAGTGTGTGATGTGAGAGTATGAATTAGTGTGTGAGTGTATGAGTACGTGTGAGCGCGTATCAGTGGAGTATGTACGCGTGTGAGCGTGTGGGTGCGTGTCAGTGTGTGTGAGAGTGTGTGCACATGACTACAGGTGTGGGAACGAGTGTGTGTGAGCGTGCACAGGCGAGGGAGAGACTGGGCAGAGGACACGGGCTCACGGAGGAGGGGCGGCTCTTTCTCACCACAGGCCAAGGCCGGTGCCGACTTCCAGGCGGCGATCTGGAAGGGGTAGTTCCAGGCTCCTATGCCCACGCACACGCCCAGCGGCTCCCGCCTGGTGTAGCCGAAGGACCCGCCTGAGAGCTGGACGTGCTCACCTGCAGGGAGGACGGGAGCAAGGAAGAAGGCAGGTCTGTGGCTCCCGAGGCCTCGCAGATACCGCTCTCGCCTCGGCCCCTGCCCGCCCCTGCTGTTCCCCGCGGCTCTCAGCACACGCCCCTCGCCTCCCCTTCTCTCGTCGGTCCTCGGCACCCCATCTGCTCCCGCACATCCTCTCCACACGCTGAATCCCAGCCATCCTTCCCACCCTGCGCTTCCGACTTCACAGCGTTCTCTGGAACCTACTGGGTGTCCGAGGGCTAACTTAGACGGCATGAAACGGGGGACACCCGCTGGCCTCACTCCCGACACCTTTGCCCTGCCCCCCCCCCAGCCCCGCCCTCTGCCTCCTGGCAGCCGATCGCGGAAGGCGGGCGAGGGCTCACCGGCCATGGAGGCAGCCAAGCCTGCGTAGTACTCCAGGCACTGCCAGGAGAGGTCGATGTCCAGGCGGGCCTCGAAGACGGACTTGCCATTGTTGATGGTCTCCATGGCGGCAATTTCATCCATCCGCTCCTAGGGGCACATGGAGACCGGCTTTACGACACGTTACCACGCTCCCCAACAGTCAACCCACAAACGGACAACACAGCCCCGGCGGGAAAAACAGAAACAGTTTTTATTTAAATGAAAATACAAGGAAAGGCACCCTGGCTGGTGTGGCTCAGTGGATTGGGCGCCGGCCTGCAAACCAAAAGGTCGCCGGTTCGATCCCCAGTCAGGGCACGTGGGTCACAATCCCTGTAGGGGGCGCACACAAGGCAACCACGCACTGATATTTCTCTCCTCCTCTCTCCCCCTCCCTTCCCCTTGCCCTAAAAATAAATAAAATCTTTAAAAAATACCTAGCAGCAAATTGATTACCAAACCCTATTCCCCTCTATTTAAAAAAAATAAAATAAAAAAGGAATAAAAATAAAAGGAATGGCCGTATTACACTGGGAAGCCGGAGGCTGAGCGCTGAACAGCAAACCTGTTCTCCCACCGTGTCAGCTGCCCCGGGTGGGAGACCGATACCTCGTTTCAAGGTCGGCTGGGGATGTTTTGAGAAGTATCATAAATGCACACACGTATGAATACAAGGGTACGTGTTTGCACGTACACAACAGGAGAGAACAGCCCTGAGGGAGGTTATGCAAAACAGCCGGCCAGCCCCGGGCCGTGAAGACGTCCAGCACACAGGGTTCGAATTCATGCAGAGGAAAGCAGCGTTCCCTCCCCACGCTCGGGACTCAGCAACCCTTTTCTCAGACTCTGTCTCCAGTCGCAGCCTGAGACTTCAGGACCGTGGGGGCGGCTCAGGGGACGGACGGAAAAGTCTGGGAAGTTACACCTAAAGCGAAACCCTAAATAATGCCTTTTCCCCCAAAGAAGACGAAAGGACTGACTCTGCTCGAGAAAGATATCTGCTACTACGGATCTAGTTTGAAATAAAGAGCAGGGCCAACATCTGTACATAAAAGATGAATCAAACAAAGGACAAGAAGGAGTGCGGCACGATGAAATGGCAGCAGAAATTGGCACAAGCCTCTGCCCCCAGCTCAGGTCTTAGAAAAGACAAAACTGGTATCTGAAAATCAACAGGGAACATAGGAAAACACCGCATGACAGGGGTATCGGGAAGGAGTCTCTTTCTTCCAAGACCAGAGGGACAAAGGGCTTCAGTGCTCACCCCACACTCGGGGGGAGAGGAGCACAGGCCCCGCCTCCGCCCACCAGCAGCTGGCAGGGAGCAGAAGCCAGCCAGCCCTAAGGACAAAGACCGCACTGGCCGAGCAGACGTGCCCCTTCGGCTCACGTTCACACACGGCGCACACTAAACAGTCTTCCAAACCGACATGTCGCCGCCTCTTTTCTTGTTTCTAGACTCAGAAAAGCAAGCTTTTAACAATGTTTCCCAGTTACATGGACTGGAGGGGGCGTACCTACGGGGACCCCCCCGTCCTCGGACTGCTGCGTGTGACGGCCATGAAGCGTCCTCAACCACAAATGGCTGCAAAGGGGTCTCTACAGTGCCAAGGGGAGCCGGGTCCCGAGGGAACGCAAGGCTGGCTCGCGAGTCCTTGCGTCCGCCCTCGGGGGGTCCGGGGGGCCCCGTTTGGGCTCCCTGCTGGTCTTTGCCAGGGACGTTTCTGGATGATCCTTGTATCGATGCACCTCATAATGATCTTTGAGAAATCACCTTTTCTGGGAGGGTAGACAATGATGGAGTAAGAGAGGAAAGACCCTCAAGGCCAGCCAGCAGATCGAGTTCTGAGAGCTGGAACCTCGACACGACCCCCAAAGCCACTGCCCACGCCTCATCCTGGAAGGGAACCAACGGCAACATACCCGTATGATCCGGGCGGCCTCCAGGAGGACGCGGCCACGCTCCAGGCCCGATTTCTTACTCCATATCTTGAAGGCAGCCTTTGCATCTTGAACGGCCAAATTCACCTCCTTTTCTCCGGAACATGTGAAAGTAGCTATCACTCGTCCTAGGGACACAGAGTACGGGTTAGCTCACACCGCGGCACACGCTGAAATAAACTACTATGTAGTCCGATTTCCTCTTCGGGACCCCCTTCTTGTCTCTCCATATAGTGTGACTTAGCGACCACCCCTACCCCAGCAGTGCCTACCTGTTTTGGGGTCACTGACCCCCCGCCCTTAAGAATCTAAGGAAAGTTTCGGACGTCTCTGGCAGAGAAACGTAATCCTATTACATAACTAGCAAGGTCACTGCCTCGCCCCAACCACATCTGCAAACATATGGTTAGGAACACCTGCAGCCTGTTTCACAGGTGTGTCTGCCAACACTAGCTTCATGGTAATTGCTTTGCAAAGTTCAGTAACAGCGTTTGAGAAGTTCAGGGATCCTGCAAAATCAACTTGGAGAGTATCATAAATACTGACTTGCAATCCTTGGTCTGTGCTCTATATTAATTCTGTAATTAATACACACTTGATGAATGTGGTTACTAAACAGCAATATCAGGAAAAGACATCCCAGACGCAACCAAGACTTTCTGGGTTTTTTCCCCCTCAAACATCTTTTTAAAAAAAATCCATTCCTTCTCTTGCCAACCTTAAACCCTGTCCCTATTCTCGGGCAAAATCCGAGAACTCCAGGGACTGCGCTTTTCCCAGAGTTTCATGAAACTGCAACTTTTGTTACAAATGCGAGCAGCCAGCCAGTGAATACAATGGCTGAGGACCACGCAACTGCAGGTGAATAACTGAAGATCCCTTTCTCCCGTTTCCGTGTCCCTGGTGGGGTGGGGCGGTGGCTTGTGTTCCTGGGGGAGGGGTGGGGGTTGGGGAAGGGCCTGGCGGCTTCAGGGTTGTCCCCTCCTCACGGAGGGTGTGCGTGTCCGGGCCGCTTCCGGCTCGGGGGCTGCGTGGGACCGGCGAGTCCACGTCCTTCAGTCCCCTGCAAGCCCACTGAACGCTCGGACTGCCCATCCCGCCAACAATCCACAAAACCCAGCAAAACAACCCAAGCGCGAAGCTTCTTGCTCGTCAGATTTGTCCGCGGCGCGGTGCTCTGCAGCCGTGAGGCCTGACTCGGAGTCACGCACCGGAAAGTTTAACTCCGGCGGGGGACCGCCGGGTGCCCGCAGCGCCCTCGGGGCGCCCCCCGCTCGCCTCCGGGAGCCCCTCCTGCCACCGGCGCGGGCTTCCGGCGGTAATCGGCACAGCGGCGCGGCAGGGCCGCGCGCCTGCTCCAGGGCCCGCGCCGCCCGCAGGCCCGCCCCCGGGCCCCCCGTCCCCGCGCCCCGTTACCCGTGGCCGGCTCGAACGCCTTCTCGGTGCCCGAGGAGTCCGCCGGCTCCACGCGGGCTCCGCCGCGGTAGTTGAGCGGCTGCGAAACGACGAAGGTGCCAGTGCTCATGGGGGCGGCAGAAGCGGGCCCGAGAGTGCGCAGAAGCCGGGGAAGCGCTGCCAGGCCGGCCCGGAGGAGCATATGGCGCGACACTCGGGGTGCGGGCGCGGAGCAGCGCACGAAGCGGCCTACGGAGGTACCGCTGGAGGGCGGGGCCGAGAAGGGGCGGGGTTAGAGGGGGATTCGCGTTTGGGCGGGTCCACTGGGTGGGCAGGGCTAACGGGGGCCGCGGTGGGGGCGGGCCACAGGGGGCGGGGTCCTAAGGGGCGGAGCTCGGACGGGGTCTTAGGAGGACTGCGCATTGGACGTGCGCACTGGGCGGGCAGGGTCTGGGAGAGCTTTGCGGGTGGTCAGTCCGCTCCTCCGCCGTCCAGGTCGTGACCTCGCTTCGGCAGAAGGCTGGGGCGATTCTGCACGCGTGCGCACTCCTTCCCCCCCTTCCTGGGCCTTCTCCCACCTCCGCCTCCCTCCCCTCCCCCTCCTTCCCCTCCCCCTCCCTCTCCTCCTCCTCAGTCTCTGTCTGGTGGTCATCCTGGGATTCCACTCTTGATCCTACCACCTAAAGAAAGCGGAGGATTGGGGTGCCAGGAATATTACTTGGGGGAATTACTTCACTCAAATGAAGTCTCCATTACTTCATTATTGTAAAAGTATTAACTATAGGCTCCTTTTAAACGTTGATTGCGAAGACCAAGGGGAGGACGGTCAAGGAGACACGTGACCGGAACGCGCTTTCCAAATCTGACGGAGCTCTGTGACCGCCCTTTAATAGGACAAAAGCCACTTTCTCAGGCCCCTTCCCAGAGGTGGCCGGACCCCATAAAACATGACCGGCCCGAATTGCTTTTCGAGACTTTATCCTCAGGACCAGAAAAACCGCGGGAAGCGCCGGCAGGGTGCAGAGTCTCTGGGACCGTGTGAAACAGGACGCACCAGACCACAAGCACCACGGGGCCCTGCACCCAAAGATGACAGCGAAACACGCTGCAGCCCAACCGAAACATCCTGCGCAACAACCGCCCGTTACCCAGCTAGCCCACAGCGCTGATTCGTCAGGGCCCGTGCCGGTGCGTTTCTCTGCCCCGAGCCCCTTCCCTCCCTTGGGAAACTAAAACAAAACCTTTCCTCTCTGCCCTTTCTTCTCTTCGTGAGTTTTTTCACAGCTGGCATCGCCAACGCCCCTAGCTTCCTTGACGACCCCGTGCCCAGGCAGAAGCTTGGCCAGGGGCCTCAGGCGCAGCCCAGGTCCTCCTCCCCGGTCCCCTGGCTGAGCTCCTGGGTCTGCAGGGGGCACTCTCGGCCCCGAAGCCGGCGGCGTGGGCATCGTCCTTTCCTGCGCGTTTCTTCCCCGTCCGGGGGCTGCAGTGTTTCTCAGGGTTCGTGTCTGTCCCACCTGCGTGATAGGACAGACGGCGCGCGTCAGGTTGGGAGCAGAAATGAGCAACACCGGTCCACTCCTCCGACTCTCAGCGCCCCTTCGTGAGCCTCTCGATGCTCCTGGGACGTGGGGGGCGGGGGAGGGTGCCCTCCCGCAGAAACAGCGGCCCTCAGCCTCGGAGGCCGCCAGGGCCAAGCGCGGCTACTGCCTTTGTGATTAGCCTCCGCTGGAAACGGAGCCGAAGCCGATCAAGAGCTGGGGACCAGCCCCAGGATGGCCACGTACGGGGACAGAAGCTGTGGCTGGTGGACACGGGTGTCACAAACAGTGAGTTGACCCAAACACGCAGAGAGTTTATAGCAGAAAGAGAGAGAGAAAGAGAGAGAGAGTGAGCGAGCAGGCTTGTGAAGCAATAGAACGCTTTATAGGACATGGGAGCGGGCCAGCTCCGGGCAGAGGTTGCCCCTCAGTGGCCGGAGGGATTCTATTCTGATAGGGCAGGTTATTTCCTGCCCGGCTTTGGCGGGGTTTTATTGTGCACGTGCAAGTAGTTATGTTAGGGTCAGTTAGTTTTAAGCGACTGCGCATGCAGTCTCCCATGATTTAAAGATTTTATTTATTTATTTTTAGAGGAAGAGAAACAGCAATGCGTGGTCTTGCACGCCCCCTGCTGGGGACCTGGCCTGCAATCCAGGTGTGTGCCCTACAGTGGGAATCGAATGGGCAACCCTCTGGTTCGCAGGCCGGCGCTCAATCCACTGAGCCACAGCAGCCAGGGCACAGTGCTGATTTACTATGACACTATTATAACGAAGTGGAGATACTATACATGTAGTGTTACACACTGTAATGGTCAAGTGAAACAGGTAACACTGCGGTTCCCAAGGGCAGCAGAAGCGGAAGCGCAAAGTGGCCGTGCGGCAGCAGGTGCTTTGCGGAGGGAGCAGAGGACCCATCTGAAGACTCAGGTGACTGCGTGGTGGGTAATGGAGTGTGAACCCCATTTTCCAGATGAGGCCATGAAGGCTTAGCAAGTTAAGTCTTTTTTTGCCCATTTTTGTAAGTGACTCACATGGTAGGGTGAAGAAGGTCATAGGAGAAAATCGGGCAAGTAAGAGGAAGAACATCCTACGCAGACAAAACAAAGGAAGCGAAGTACAAGAAGAAGGTGAAGGATGCAGAACTGGACGCCGTGTCTGCCTGCCTGGAGCCGGGCAGGTGTGGGCTGGGGTGGGAGCAGCCGGGGGGCCGGGCTGGGCTGGGCTCCTGCGTTACATCGTTCACATCTCCTCGGAGGGAACAGCGAGGCAACGCGACTCGGCTGCCATTTTAGAAAGGCTGTTGCCACACAGGAGGGATGGCGGACCAGAGTGAAGGAGACAGGCCAGAAGGCCACAGGGGTGGGGACGCGAGGGAGGGGGCTGGTGGCGTCCCCGCTGCTGCTCCGTTCTCCCCCCACCGGGTGTCCTCCTCTGCCCAGTCTGGCGCGCGTGGGGAAGGACAGGAGCAGCGTGGCCGCGGGTGCCCGCCATCCCTGCTACCGGCTGAAAATGAAACGTTTTCTGCCCGTGTTTCCGCCCATCCTGGGGCTTACGAGCGGGGGACATGCATAAAAGCAGTGTGACAACGAGCAGTTAGGGGCCCCCTCTGTGCAGGATAAATATGTCCTTTTGGGCTAGCCCCGAAACACTCTTACACGGCACATGCCATTTCTGGAACGACACGGGCAGTGAAAGCACAAGGTCTGAAAGCTGAAAACAGTCACGCAGAGGAGTGTAAACAGACGTTTACCCACTTGGCATCCACTCAACAAAGAAACCATTCCAGGTTCCGTGAAATGTCTGTAGCTTGGCTGTGAGCCCACAGTGGGATGTGTCTTAAAGAAGACCCACCCCCCACCAAAAAAAAAAACAAAAACCCAAATCTTTTCAGTAATCGTACTGTGGGTAGTAACGTTGGTATAGATATCCTGAGGCTTTGGAATGGACATTTGGGGGTTATGCTCATACGGAATTATGCGGTATTTTAATTCTACCATTTCTGGGACTGGAACGAGTGTTTTCAGCATCGGATAAGAGAGACACTGATCAGAGTAAAAACCCCACAGCCCTGAGGTCAGCTGGTGAGTCTGTCACACCACTAAGGAAAAATGCCACCAGGACAAGGGCCATGTCACATGGGCCAGGCCCAGGAGCCGTTCAAGAGCCTCCACTGGCCGAAAAAGGGGACAATTTGAGCATCCACAAGAAAAATATTTTCAGTGGATTGAAGTGAATCAAGCATGTTTCAATCTACGAATTTCTAGTCACACACTCAACACACAAATTGCTCACCACAGGAGGCGCTAGTGAGCACCTCACCAATTTCACAACCAGACAGTCAAGCCGCTTTTCCTGCCTTCCCTGGTAAATTCACCCCCGGGAACCACGTGGCAGCAAGATCGCCGTCTCTCAACCCCTAACCGGTCACTGAATCGGAGAGAGGAAGCCGAAAGTATGAAGAACAGGCCCTGCAGCCACGAAGCCCCCGAGGACCCACAGGGAAGACCCTCCAGGCAGGAAACTGCTGGGGGGAGGCGGTGAGGGAGGCGGGGCGCTGGCGAGAGCGTGGGCTGCCAGACGCAGCGGCAGCGTCACCTCGGAACTTGCTGGAAGTGCCAGTGCCCGGGCTGTGCACTGGCTGGGGCCGGGCAGTCTGGGCGGGGCCTTCGAGGAAAGCCTGCGGCCCTCCCGTTGGAAAAGCCACCGCCACAGGGGAGACGTGGTGCATGGCGCGCACCCACCGACTGCAGTGTGGTTCTCTGATGGGCTCCCCGTGCGAAAACACTGTAGTGAGCTTTGCTATCTATACACAACTTTATGGTATCCAAGAATAGTCCACTTTTAGGTATGTCAAGGGTATGGAGGTTATATGTATGTGTAAAAGCCCCAAAACAGTTGTGGATAAAAGGCACGATGCCTAAGATCTCCTTCCAGATAACGTGAGGGACAGAAGCCGGGGCAGACGTAGGACTGGCCGTGAGTCGGCAATTGTTCCGCTTGCACAGCAAGTGTCTGGGGGTTCCTTATACTACGCTTTTAGTAACTTTTATTGGTGAGGTTTTTTCCATTCCAAAAGTTTAAAAACTCAAAGGAAACAATAGATGAAGACAAACAACTGTAACTTAAGCAGAATTAACCCCAAAAAGGAGAAAGTGTATGGTGCCTTTACTTAGACTGGAGAGCAGGGCTGAAATACAGGAAAGGGTTAAGTCTCTTGCAAAGCCCCACCACGCCCAGCGGGTGGCAGCGACCTTGGTGTGGATGTGCAGCCCCTGGCCCACGGAGGAGGGCGACTCACAGGGAGGAGAGGGGCCAGGGCCCGGCCGAGGGCACGATCACCCGCGCCACTCGCCGCCCAGTTTCCCCCGGCTTAGACTCCGCAAGGCGACCTGTTGAGACATTCAGATCAGCCCTGGCTGGTGTGAGCGCCGCCTGCGAACCAAAGGGTCGCCAGTTCGATTCCCAGGCAAGGCACAGGCCTGGGCTATGGGACAGGTCCCCAGCAGGGGGCGCGTGAGAGGCAACCACACATGGATGTTTCTCTTCCTCTCTACCTCCCTTCCCCTTTCTAAAAACATATAAAAACAAACCTTTAAAAAAAGGAAATAAGTTTAAAAAAAAAATTCAGAGCTACCTGCATTGTTCAGACACTGACTCCTTCAGCCTAAGTGCACCGAGTGGCCCAATGCAGGTATTACTAATGCTTGATTTTCTTTCCTTTTTTTAACCAGAAAGAGGACGTGCTGTCCTTTATACAGGCAAGGCAGCCAACCACGTGTTCTGAGAGGTCGCAGGCTTCCTGGCTTGGAACGTCAGCTCCAATAGTTCAGTGACGGTCTGGCCCTGTGTCGTCCAAATGATGAGTCTTGAAATATTCTTAGGGGACGTAATTAAAAAAGCGACCTGTGCGGCTGCGGCAGGCCCTCCCCTCTCCGAGCCGGCGCGCTGTGGCGGTCCTGCTCGCTCCTTCCGCGTCACAGCCTTGCTGCGGGCGCCTTCGAGAGAGCCCAGCGGGCAGCCCCGGGGGGCGGGGGCGCTGCCGGGGCCTCTGCCCCACCTCCCTCTCCAGACCCCAAGACAACTGCACAGTTGGGGCGTGTGAGACAAATGTGACAAAATGGGACATTAGAAACTTGCATTTTGGCCCTTCCTGGCTGATGTTTACCTTTATGTTAAGATTCCTAAATGTGTATCTAGAAATGTGGCAGAACAAAACAGCGCTCTCCTTGCAGGTGGAACGGCTACAGTTTTGGCCTCTTTATTGATTGCACGTCACAAATTTGGCTTAAAAAAACACGCATAACAATTGATTCCGATTAAGGGTCACCCACGAAAGGAAAACTGCCCTTTCCTCTCAGACCGCCCAACGCCCGCGGGGCGGCCGGCAGGACGGCCAGCAGGGAGCACGGTCAGCCGGGCCCGGGGGGCAACCGTGCGGGCGCAGCAGGGCCGCTTCGCCTCCAGGGAGCGCCGCCAGACTTCCGCGGTCACTCACCGAGCGCGGGGCCTCCTCTGGGCCCGAGGCGCCGTCCTGCTTGGCTGCTGGGTGCCATCCTCCAAATCCCATCCTTGGCGTCTCGAAACAAGACTAGGAAGTGGCTCAAGTGCTAAGTCTGGCTACAAAACCGTTGCTAATCTAACGTGAGCATCTGTGAAAATGACGGGAATTACAGGGTTCCTCTTGGTTTCAGGAGAACTTCCCAGAGGGAGGTGGGGGGCCCAGGAACCCGCCGGCCTGCTTGGTGGCAGCTCGCGAAGGAGCAAGGCCAAGGATCTTCTGGATGTTCTGTGAGGAAGAGGAAACAAACACTGGGTTTTACTATGAGCTATAGAGAGTGTTCTACACAGATCCCACGTGCAAAGAAGTCACACAAACTGCACGTCCCATTACGAGCTACAACGGATGAGTGTCGCTGAGTGGTCTTTCAAAAGGCCCATGGCGTGGCGGAGGCCACAGACAGAGCCCTCTTACCTGATGGGACTTCAGTCCACTAAGCAAAGAAGCGGGTCTTTTCAGCTGGAGAATCATAAAGAGAGGTCGTCTTTCACTTCAGCACAAGGCGTCTAAAGCTCCCTCATTAACTATGCCCTGAAGGAAGGGCTGCTCCCTGAGCACAGGGCTCCCGCGGGATTTAGTGACTATTGAACCGTGTAAGCGGAAACTGAAATAGTCAGCTTCAATTTCTTCAAAAAAAGTGGCAGAACTCAGGCCCCTGCCAAATCACCTGAGCCCAGAGTCCCCCTCAATGGTGGGCATGGCCCCCAACCTTTCCAGCTGCCCCTCCTGGATCTGATCCCGCAGTCTTTTTAGAAACGTGCGTTTATGGAAGCTAGTTCTCAAACACTACTATTTCACACTCAGACTTCATCGGTGAACGCAACATTAAATTACATCCACCCCACAACCAGTAAAACACCAGCACGAACGGTTTGGGGCTGAAGACAGTCATCAAAGACAGGGACTCTGCCGTGGGAGCTCGCCGGCCGTGGGAGCACAGGTGGAGGCGGGCGGCCCGGCCTGGGTGCGGGGACCACGGGGCGGGGACTCAGTGGTGCTCTCAAGGGGGAAGGGAGGGGCCGTTGAAGTGCAGAAGTTAAGTAAGACGTCATCATGATTCTGTACAGAATTTAGAAGAGGGAAAAATCCTTAAAGATCATCTGATTATTCTTGTTAGATTCTTTCATTTTATATTTGAGGAATTCTAATTAAAACCAGGAAAAGGAGGATGGCTTGTCCAAAGTCACAAAGTTAAATGAATAGCGGAGTTAGAATTAAAAACCATGTGTTTCGATTCTTAGTCTAACGGGTTTTCTTAACCAGCACCTCTCACGTGGACGTCCTGATCTTCTGGACGAGGCCACCCCGCCCGAGGCAGGCCGGCAGGACTGCGTCCATCACTCGGTGGTCGCTGAGTGCCAGCTGCAGTCCAGAGGGCGCCCGAAGGACACCCGGCGCTGCCCCCCCGACGCGCACACGCCCCGGCCCTTTGTCGTGAGGAGTGCGGGGCGCACAGAGCTGAGGGTCTCCGTTTCTTGGACGACAGCCTGCCAAGTGCCAGCAGAGCGCAACAGAAAACGGAGACACAACCTCAGGTTTCATCTAAATATAGCTACCGAAAAATTCTTTCTTTATTCACAGTACTGTAGCTCAGGCTTTACTTTAAAAAGAAATTGGGAAACAAGAAGAAAAATCATTAGTAGATCAGGCTACTTCTCCCAATAAAGCTGGAGAACGTACCACTTGGCATAAGACAAGCACAGGCCCACCTCTCAAAACCCACTGACACAGCCACAAGACCAAGTGCTACAGTGTCACAAATTTCCAATTGCTTTGACTTAACCAGTATTTACTCATTACCTACAATGTATCCAGGGTTGAGCAGGGCATTGTGGGAAATTAAAGATAAAATGTGAAACAATAAGATATTACCAAATTAGCTGCTGATACACACAGTTGTCTAGTTAACAAACACAATGATATGGTCTAGACACAACAGAGCAGGCAGCCTGCTCGATCGTTCTGCCGGGCGAGGGCCCAGACGGGTCCGTATCGTTTGAGAGAGAAAGGCCAATGGGACACCTCTAGTGCCAAGTTCGTCACAAGTTTACTGCGATTCAAAGAGGACAACCGAACGGAAAGGAGCACAATCTTTTGAAGGGCAGACGGCTGACAGTCTCGGCTCATGAGCAGAAGCAAACGGCCCGGAACCCGAGCGAGCGCTGCCCCGCGCAGGGGCGGCCCCGCCGATGGCGCTCAGCAGCGGTCCAGCCGCCCGTCGACCCGGCAGCTCCACACTCGGTTCCCCCCCCGTGACCCTGGTGGCGGCTCCCTGCAGGAACGCTAAATGAAGGTCACTGACGTGACGTGGCTCAAGTGTTTGTTATCCAAACAAACGCTCCACATCTGCTGCGTGCAACCTTCCCCTTCCGGGAAAGTCTGCGCCTCCGCTTCATCCCCACCCTGCACTCTCACAGAGGAGGCCGTCTCAGGGCGGGGCTTGGTGGGGGAACTTCCCCAGCCTCCCCCGGCCCCCCGCCTCCCCCCCCCCCCCCCCCCCCCCCCGGTTAAGGCTCTGCCTGTGAGCACCACAGGAACGGACAGGCAGGGGGCCGTGCTGCCGAGGTCCCATGCGCGCTCCCTTCACAGGCAGGTCAGGGACCGGCAGCCCTCACGGCAGAGCGGGAGCGGAGGCAGGGCGTGCGCGAGGCCGCGACTCTAACAGATCTTCCTGTAGGGATGGAGTCCCTGCTGGGGGCCTGGCCCGCTTTTCTTTTAAATCACCATTTTGAAGACCAGGTATGAGGACACCACTGTGAACCTAAAACTGCTCTGAAAGATAAGCCTATTCCCAACCGCGGGAGAAGGCTGTCAGGAGTACGGAACAGAAGCCGTATGGGGGAGCGCTGCGCGCCCCTTCCCACGGCTCGCCTCCGGGGTGTTGAAACACCACGCAGCAGGACAACCTACCACGAGGACAGCGGAGCCGCTTATTCAGGGCCTCGCAGCTCCGGGAAGAGCCTCAGCGCCACCCCGACGTGCGGCCAGGAGAAGGGGAGCCCCGCGCAGGCCGCAGGCACCGCAGTGCACGCGGCCCCTCCCGTCTCCCCTGCCCGCCTCCACTGCGCCCGCCTGCTGCCCGCCGGGCTTCTCGGCCCCTCCCGGAGGCCGCGTTTCTGGGCCTCCTTAAGGAGCCAGACTGAGTTTAGGAATGTGAATCTTGCTAAACGACAGGAGTTTCCATGTATTACAGAGATGATACAGAACACCACCTACTTAACCCAAGTTTCAGGAAACTGTAAAACGATTAGTTTGCACTTCTGCCCGGTCCTGTGTACCAGGGTCACCCTGGAGGCATGCGTGTCAGCAGGGAAGAACATGTCCAGTCACCACACCTTCGCTGGCAGGGAGCCCGGGCCAAGACCCCTGCAGGATCGGCGGCCCCTCCCCTCGCAAAGGGTAAGAGCGTGACCAAGAAAAGGGGGTTAGTTGTTGGTTGCTTGCTGGGTATTTTCGGGAGAAGCAGGCCCTTGGCAGTAAACACTTTCTGCTAAACTGTATTCTGCGGTTGTTGAGCTAAAATAACTCAGCCATGGAAAGCCGCAGTTTGCCCTTTGTCTGTCCAGCATGTGGCCATCAGGCCTCCCGTCCAACTGCCCACAGCCCGCCACCCCCCGCCCCCGCCGCCCCGGCCCGCCTCCCACGGCACAGCCTGGCTCCGCCTGCGAAGCTGCGTGAAATCCAACAGCCCCGCACGGCGCGGCCAGCACTCCCAGAGTTCTGTTCCTCGTGGTTTTTGCCCTGCAATGTATCTGAGCGGGCTGTCTGGGAGGACGGCCGCGATCAAAGCCACTGAAATGCTCGACGGCACAGTGCTGGGCCGGCGTGGGAGCGCCTGTGTGCCGGCACGCGCGACCCGGGCGAAGCGGCAGCGGCCAATGTCTCTCCGCCTCACCGACCCTCCATTTCCCTGTGCTTTTGGGTTGGAGGGTGTGTGGGGGGGGGGTGCGGGGGTCACTAAACCCATTGTTCTCGAAGCCTGCGAGCCACGGAGTCCTTTCTGTCACCAAAACCCCATGTGAGAACCCAATACAGGAAGCAGGGGGACCGGGCTGGGGACCAGGGCTCCTTGCCGGGCCCTTCAATACCCCGCCCCTGCCAGCAACTCAACACCTGCAGAGGGCGACACAGCCCCTCGCGGCTGCCGCTCCCACAAACCGGCCCGTGTCATGGCCGTAACAAGCTCACGGCTGACTCCACGCGGCCTTGCCAAGTGACAGCCCACGTTCCAAAAGGAGGAGGCACATCCCTCTGAGTACAGAGGGATGCTACTTCCTGTGTGAGTTTGACGGACACTCTCTGTCCTCAGAGGCCAAGGGCCGCTTTCACATTAAAGGCCTTTACTAAAGGAGGGGTGCGCAGGCGCTCCGTCGACAATCTCTGTCTCTTTATCCTCCATCCTTCCAGCGAAGACCTCCCTCGGCCTCCTGTTTAGTCCCTACTGGAGGACCAGTCGAGGGGAAGGTTCGGAACCTTGGTTTAGAGCAGTGAGACAAGACGTTTTACTGTGTTTATTTTAAAATCTCACAGCGGACGGCGGGGCCCAGCTGGTGCCACGTGGGGCTGGAAACCAGGAGGGAGTGGCATGTTACCGCCGAGGGACCAAGGCCCGGGGGTTCGGGCCGCCGGCGCATCAGACACTGGGAAGCGGGGTTCAGAGTGAGGGGCCCCCACGTCCACACCGAGCCCCCGCCCAAATCCCTGCCAATCCTTAAACCGCGCACACCCGGGCCAGCCTTCACGTGGCCCGGCTGAGGCTGGAAGGCTGAGGCTGGAAGGCTGAGGCTGGAAGGCTGCGACTTCGGGGGCCGCCGGACGCAGGGGACCACGTGGGCTTCGAACACCGAGTGAACTGCCTGCGTAAGGAAAATCAACACTCTCCTAAAGGATAACAGAACCCAGAGTCCACAACTCACCACTCGCCATGTCCAAGGTACAATCCAAAAGGGTCGGACACACCAAGAAGCAGGAAACGCGACCCACACTTAAAAGAATAAGCAACGGCCAGAGTCCAACCTTGAGGTCACCCCAGCGCGGGGATCAGTAGACAAGGTTTTTAAAGCAGGTAAGTAACGCTGCCTAAAAACATAAAAATAACGCTCAAAATAAAGGGACAAACAGGAACTCTCTGCAGGGAAAAAAAGATGCAAGAAAAATTTTGGACCTAAAAAATATTATGTCAAAACATAAAATCTACTGCACGGAGCTAGGGCTGGCTCAGATTAGCGGTCACAGAGGGCCAGGAAACCCGACGGCAGTCGGGGGAAGTTGTCCCACCCAAGAGCAGAACGGGAAAGATTCTAAAACATTAAGCGGAGCCTCAGCCTCCTAACAGACACTACCAACAGGCTAACGCACAACCAGCACCACGGGGGAAGGGGGGGGGGATGGGGCAGGAAAAGCGTTGGAAGAGATTATGGCTGGAGTTTTCTGAGATTTAATGAAAACCTAGCAGGATAAAAAAAAGATTTATTTTTATCCTATGCACATTATAGTCAAATTGCTAAAAACCAAACTTAAAACTTCTCATCAGAATTCATAGAGGCCAAAAGACAGTGGAAAGGCATTTTAAAATGCTGAAAGGATTAAAACAAACAAAAGCAGTCAACCCAGGACACTACAATATATGCAGTGAAAATAGCCTTCAAGAAAAAAGGCACTTTCAGATGAAGGAAGATGCGGAGACCACGTCGCCGCCAGCAGACCTCGCCGCGGGCCACACGGGCAGGAGGAGGGGCCGGGAGCCGCCCCGCTGTGCCCGGCTGCACCTCCTGCCGCACCCCAGCAACCCCGGGCTGTGTGGCACTGCGCCTTGTCACCCCCTGGCCGTGCAGACCTGTTCTGGGAGACCACGGCCAGGTCTCACTGTGCTTCTTCAGGTTACAGCCTTACACTCATAAAGTTACCTATTCAGGGGTGGGTGCCAAAAGGAAAAAGAAACGCTCATTCCACATTTCCTCAGACCCACTCATTCTGTTCGCTTCCAAAGAAAAGACAGGCCTGCCCACGGCCTTCACAGGCCCGCGCGTGGGCCAGGATGACCGGCCTCCCGGGGCCGGGCCCCGGGTCAGCGGCCTGGGCGGCCCCCGAGATGCGGAGCGCGTCACGCAGAACATCACGATTGAATAGGAGGCGCAGAGCACACTGAGGAGTCCTTCTGGTGCGCTGATCATTCCAAGTGCAAGCGGGTTAAGCCGGGCGTTTGCGAGCCTGGCTTTTGCCTGTTACACTAACTGTCCCATTCTAGGGTGTCATTGGTTGTGTGGCTGGCCACTGACTTCAGAGCTTTCAAGGAAAAGGAATAATGCTGATCGTACCACGTGGGCCATGGGTAGGTTAACAGTTGTTCACATGGAAAGTAATAAAATAATAAATAATAGTCAAGAATGACCTGTTTTACACACTTGCAAGTGGAAGCCTACTTTGGCCCCACCCCGTGAAACAAAGTTGAAGACCCATTTCTACTTTACAATGGGGCGGGGCGGACCGCGTTGCCCGGCTGGGGAGACGGAGCACGCGGGGGTTGGGACCCCATGGCCACGCAGGCTGAGGGTCCGCTCCAGGCCTCGGTTTCCACGGGGGGTGGGGGCGGGTCTGGGGAGAGTCAGGACAGCGGCCAAGAGTGGAGACAGCTCCTCCCAAGGCCACACTGTCCCCCCGCCCCGCATCCTGGGCTGTGTTTAAAGTTAATATTTGTTCCCAGCCCGGGTAGGACGGAGTTCCTTCTCACAGGTTAAAACACAGTGTGTCCTGTTAGCTGAAAATAATCTGTTACCCTTTCTCGTTGTACCTTCCCCTTCTGATGGTCTGTTGAACCTTTGTGAGCCGCGCAGAGCTGCCGTGGCCTCCCTGTCACAGCCGCGTCCCCCGTGGGCATCGGCCGCAGCGGACGCGCGGGGCCCGCCGCTGTCCCTGGAGCTGCTGCCCCGTCAGCCCAGGGCGGCGGGCGTTTCCTTCACGCCTTAAGTAAGGGGGGCTCGTTTGGGCGCCCTACTCTGAGTCAGCGGAGCGAGTGAGGGGCCCGCCCGCGGTGCAGCAGGCTCGGCGGAGGCCCCGCGGCCAGCGGTGGGGGCAACAGCGTCCACGCAGGGGGTGGACAGGCAAGATGGGGTCTGGTCTGTCCTGACAGGGAAACGGTGTCTGGCCTTGAAAAAGGAAGGACCTTCTGACTTTGCAGAAAAAACCTCGGAAGCATTATGCTGGCCACAGAAGGACAAAATTATTCTACGATCTCGCGGATGATACGAGGCCCACTTCGCCGGTGCGGGTCGTCGGACTGTAGGGGCGGAAGCAGGGTGGTGGCTGGGGGGACTGGGTGCGGGTGGGGGGCTGGTGTCTGCTGGGACGGGCTCCAGCCTGAGATCTAGGAGTTCTGGAGACCAAGCCGCTGTGGCCCGGCAGGTCAGTGGCTGCGTGCCGGCCTGTAACCGAAAGGTCATCGGACGGATTCCCAGCCGGGGCACGTGCCTGGGCTGCAGGCCTGGTCCCTGGTCAAGGGCGGGCGAGAGGCAAGCAATCAATGCTTCTCACAGGGATGTTTCCCTCCTTCTCTTTCTCCCTCCTTTCCCCGTTTCTCAAACAAATAAATAAAGTCTTAAAAAAAGAAAAAAAGTTCTAGAGATGGATAGTGGTGATAGTTGTTCAATAATGGGAATGTGCTAAATGCCACAAAACTCTACAGTTAAAAACAGTTACAAGAGCAAACTTTACATTGTGTCTATTTTAACCCAGTAAACGAGAAAGATTAATGGCCCCGGAATTAGTAGGTACTTTAAGATATACACAAACAACGCAGAAATCACTGCCTTAAAAGGGCTGGAGGACAGGAGAACGTTAGATGGAAACAGCAAGAACAACTCTGAAAGACGCCCCTCCGCAGCAGGCACCGAAGGGACGGTGCCGTAGTCCCGGCAACCCGGCCGAGGGGCGGGAGGCTCAAACGCCGAGCGACGCCCTGGCCCACGGAGTTCTCGGCAGCGCTTTAAGGAACCCCGTCTCCCTTTCGAAAGTCCCCTCTCAAGCGCTGCGCTCCCTGACCCCGCCCGCTCTCCTCCCCCTGGCCGGGGTCAGGCCGGCCCTCGGGGCTCCCCTGGCCTCTGTTCTCCTCTCAGTTCCCACTCGTGCTCGCTGACCGCCTGACCCTCGTGTTGGCTTTGTCTCAACGCTGAGCAACTCAAAGTTACCAAATTATTCCGCTTACTTGTGTTCCAGAGTGACAAAAGGCGCAGGCCTCTAACAAAGAGGAAGGCACCGCGGGAAGGACGGCCCCTCTGTGCCCCGGGACAGCTGCCACAGGAGGGGTCCGGGGGCGCTGAGGCTGCAAGGGGAACCCCGTCGCCGGGTTTCACTGCTGCCCGCCCCCCACGCTCAGGGCCAGCGGCCTGGACCTGCACGCGTCCGGGCAGCTGCAGCCGGAAGGCTGGAGCCCCGGAACAAGCAGCAGAAGCCCCTGCCGCAGCGGCGGGTGTTTGCCGCGACAGCGCAGGAGCTGTGGCGGCTGGGGGAGCAAGGACGCACGTACGGCCCTTCGCTGCTCAGCGACAGGGCACATCCTGAGAAACACGTCCCCAGGTGCCTCCGTCGTCTCTGAACTTTAGAGAGGGCACCTGCGCCAACCCAGGTGGGGCCACCAGATGGGACAGCCGGCCGCACCCAGAGGCTGGGTGACGCCCCCCCTCCCCCGCTCCCGTGGCCTCTCGTCCCCTGAAACGCCAAGGCGTGCGCGCGGCTGGCCACGGCAGCCGGGGGCCTGGTCCCTCACCTGCCGAATGGACATGGTGCAGAGAATGTACAGGAAGATGAAGGAGCAGTCGGTGGTGTCGTCGCCCAGCAGGTTCCGGTGAGACAGGCCCTGGATGTAGGAGAGCGGGGTGAAGGGCAGCTTGGCCACCACTCTACCGTCGAATCTGGAAAGGACACAACAAAGGGCTGTTGTTGTTGGAAGACTGACAACCTTAGTTCCCGAGAAGGACCTGGGGCCAAAATAGAACATTAAGTCCCTTGATCTTTAGGAAACAAAGAAAGGCTGATACTCTAAAGAGAGGTCCGAAGTACACGGATGTAAGGAAGGATGTGGGCTGTTCCTGCCAATCTTTCTCTGAACTAATGATTCTTTCTTTTGTCAGCACCAGGATCCTGGCAGTAAAACATACGTGGAGCCCTTCCCATAGAGTGGCCTTTCGGACCCCGTGTGTGCGTGTGTGCATGCGTGTGTGCACGCGCATTGGGTGAGGTCGCAGGGCTGTTTGGTGCATTATGTTCATCAACAACAGTAAGAACAGTAAGGAAGCGTCTCACATGAATATAAGGCGGTATTACTGCTGGTAGAAATGGCCAGTTATTTCTTCATCAGTTTATTTCCTTAGAACTCACCTGTACAGAACTCATAAAAGAGCACAGAATAAATCAAATGCTGGACTTCACACCAGGACTCAAACCTATCGCAGTAATCAAGGCGAAAAGGACTAACTACACACACAGACCCTCCCCCACTAAGCTGTAAAAGTACTATTTTAAAAGTCAGAAGTTTGAGCACCTCTACAGTACTCAGCAAGAATGTGACCAACTTAAGAATATGTGTGTTGGAGTTGTACCAAGGCAGCTTACTTGTTAACTAAGCTTACTCATTAACTCAAAAACCTTTCAGTGTTTGGTCTGCCTGGTTAGTTCACAGTGATATTGCCATGAACCGAGAGAAAGCGTGGCCATGAAAAAAGAGTGCTGAATGTAGAATTACATCGTGGAAATTCTGAGATTTCTGGAACCCTTGGGCAAGGTACTGCATCTTCCAAAGGCCCCTCATTAGTCAAGTGGAAATTCCGTATTAGAGCCACCGGGCCCCTCTCTGGCCCCGACCTCGGCAAAAGCACTCACTTCCTCTTTCCCTCCTGCACTCCCCCCACACCCCCTCTGTTACAGCACCCACCCTGTACTCATCTCTCGGCCTCTCCTTTCTTCCCATACAGTGCGGTCCCCCTGAGGGCCGGGGCCGCCCGACCTGCCGCATCCTGATGCCTAGCACAACGCTCGGCCCAAAGCGGCACTGAACGGGGGGAGAATAGACCAGGGGGCCTGTACAGGGAGAGGGAAGGACAGACAGAGAGACCATCAGGCGTGATGCAGGGGAGGAAGAGTGGGAGAAAGAGAAGGAAAAGGGCGGGGAACTCCAGCCCGTGAGGGAGGGCCCGGTGAGCTGGGACAGGCGCCAGTGTCCCCGCAGACGGGCCGGACCACGGGGACCCACCTCGCCAGCACACGAGGGTCAGAGTCAAAACGGCTTCATATGATGCCTTCCTTCCGAAGGCCCCACAGCGCCTTCCTTTGCCTTGGACATGAGACACCCTCACTAACACGAGGGTGAAAGGGCTATCACACGCTTGTGTCCCATCAACAGCGAGCACCCGTGACTGTGGGAGCCGGACTGGGGCCGTGGAGGAGAAGGCCCGTGTCCGCAGGGGCACCCACTGCGGCAGCTACACACGGGCAGGGGCGGGAGGCCACGGCGCCCCCTCGGCAGCTCGGAGACACAGAGCGCGCCCATGTCCGTGGGAGGGCACGCAGGACGGGGAGACGGAAACGGAGGCGGGAGGGGCACACTGCCAGCGTCTGCGACCCCGGTCGGCGGGCGCACTGCTCCTGCGCCTCTGCCGCGCGCCACACCAAACCCAGCAGGGCCGCGGGGCGGCAGCCAGCACTCACATGGAGTTGAACATCCCCATCAGGGCGGTGAAGCAGAAGCCGATGGCAAACATGGACTTCATTCGGACCTGCAAGGAGACGCACAAGTCACGGCGCGCCGAGGAGTCGCCACCGCCGAGGTGCGCCGCGGAGGCCTCGCTCCCACGCTGCGTGCTGGAAGGCGCGCCCTGGCCGGAAGCTGTCCCGCCAGCCCTCTCTTCTTGGCCGCCTGCGGGGGAGCAGCCCTGGGGCGGCCCCGACGCCGTCTGGCCAGTGGGCTCCATGCACGAGCGCTGAGGGGGCTTCTAGGGCAGGAGCCAGCACCCGCCCCCCGGCCTCGCGCCCCTTCCCCTGGCCTGGAACGAAGACCCCAGGGGCCGAAGGTAACGCGCGTTGAGCCCCCAACAGCCTGAAGCTCAGGACAATGGCACTGAGCTGCCACCCCAGGCCAGGGCCACCGCCTTCTGACTTCCCGAGCAAGTAAAGCAAAAACCTTCCTCTGCTCAGCCCACCGGCAGCGGCCCTTGTCCCTTGCAGCTAACGTCTCTCTTGACCGCTGTGTCGTAAAGGTGTAACAGAAGACTACGAAGACGTAAGATTAACAGTTGTTACAGTTGGGTCTCTCTCTCCTTTCGGTAGTTTTCAAATTTGCTTTGGTAAATGTGTAATAATTGTGTCAATAGAAAGGTTATTTTTAAAAAAGGTACTTCTAAATTATAATCTTCTGAATAAGAATTTCAAAATAAAGATATATAGCAAAGGTCTCTCAGCACAAAGGAACCGTTGCAACGTTCAGCTGTCCTATGGTAAAGGTACAGAAATTCAACAGAAACAGCAGTCAAGCCCTATCATCAGCCCACCTCGGCCTGGAAGAGACGCGGGAACAAAGCCTGCTCTTCACAGACAGCGAGCAGGCGGTCCCGACCCTCTGCCGGTCCCGCCGCGGCGCGCCGGCCCTGTGGCAGAGGCCCCTCTGAGGGAGATGGGCACGAGACGGGCCCTCTGCAACGCTCCACCTCCCACGCCGGGGAGCCTAGGTCCCCCAAACCAGAGAGGCAGCGCTCCCCGGAGGAAGAAGACACTAAACCCAGGGGGGCAGCCCAGAAGTGCGGGGAAGGAGCGAGCGGGGCCTCCGGGCACCTTTCCACATCGGCCCGTCCAGGAAGGCCCGCGGCGCGAGGCGCAGCCTGTGGAGGCTAAACGTCTGAAGGCGAGCGCGGGGCTCTCGACGCGCATCAGGGTCTTTGCTGAAAACGCCGCGGCTTACCAGAAGTTATCTTTAGGACCCTTACCATCGACAGATCTCGGTTGTTATTCTTCAGTTTCTCTTCTTGCCTCTCTGGAAAGAACACAGAGCAGTCAGCACACGGCGCACTGAACACGGGCAGACGCCACACTGCTGCTGACGAGCCCTTCTGCCTCCCCGCCGCCTGTTCTACCGAGAGGCGCTGGTTACCCGCACGGTGTGTGCTTTGTACTAACAGAAAACTCAGCTGCAGCGGAGCATCAAATTATTTCAATTTAAATAAATAAAAATCTTTCAAGTTTAATTTTTTTAAATCCTCACCTGAGGATATGTTCACCGATTTGAGAGAGAGAGGAAAGAGAGAGAGAGAAACGGAGCGACATCGGTGTGGGAGAGGTACATCGATCAGGTACCTCCTGCATGCGCCCCGAATGGGAACCAAACCGACAACCTTTTGATGTGACGATGCTCCAACCAACTGAGCCACCCGGCCAGGGCTAAAGTTTCATTTCTGAAAACAACCTCTCCTATCGTCCTCACTCTGCCCCAGGAGAAGCGCTCTGCGTGGGCCCCTACAGCAATGCTAATGGGAGAGTGTATCTGGGGAGCGGCTCGTGGCAGGCCTCACGGGGCCAGCGCCAAGGGGAAAGAGTGCGGAGCGACTTTATCAAGTCCGAAATGATGCGGCTGTGGTCGCAGACTTCCGACAGCCGGGATTCATCTACGAGTAAAACGTGCAAACTAGAGAACGGACAGGCTGTTTGTCTTTTAAGCGGCTCCTAATGAATATTATGTCTGGTAAGTCCTGGTAAGATTTTGATACTCAACTCTTCATAAATATGATTTCACTTCTCTTTTTGAAAAGCAAACAATTCAAAGCTACATCCCATGTTGAGACCATTGGAGCTTAGATGCTGTGCCATCGGTTCGAGGGCGGCGAGCCATCTGCCCTCCATATTCATCTCTCTCCTGCCCGGTGTGGCAAAGGCGCTGGCAGCGCCGCCCACGTTCGAGGTCTCAGCCCCTCGGTGCGCACCCTCTCCCCGGTCTGCGCAGCCTGGCTCTGCCTGCCCTCCCCTCCCCTCCGCCCCTTAGACATCCAGCCCCCGCCTTTGGACCTTCCTGCCCCTGGACCTCTCCCCTCGGTGTGGGTGACACGCCTTCCCTGCTGCTCTGGCCGTGCGCATCCGCCTTTCTGTGAAGGACCCTCGGCCTCAGCCTGGGCGTTGCTAACCCCGCACGGCCTCCTTGCGTGATCGCAGTTACCCCACGGACTCCACCGCTACTTAGCCCGTGATTCTGGTCCCCCCATACAGCTGCTTCTCCGCCTCACACGCAACGGCTTCCAGTGCCGCGCATGCGCCCTGCTCTCGGACCCCTCTGCACTTCCGGAGACGCCTGTCCTCCCGCCTGGAGCGTGCGGGGCGTACAGACGGGGCTCTGCAGCGGCACACGGCCGGGCCGAGAGCCCTGCTCTGCCCTGGCTGCGGCCTGTCACACCGCTCAGCGGCCGAGCGCGAGCCACTGGACTTCAGCCGCCACTGTCCCGTCTACAGAAACGGCGTGACCCCGTTTGCTACCACAGACGGTGTTAGGAGTTTAAAATATGCGAAGTGCTTACCTCTGCGTCTTGCAGATGGTACGTGCTCCATCAATACGGAGTAGTGCTTTATATTTTTATTTAGCTGACTCTCACTGGAGCTTCAAGATTCAGCGAAAGCATTGCCTCAAGAAAACCCGAACCCTCAGGTCGGTCTGGATAGACCTTCCCTTTACACTCAGAACGTGGCTCTGCTGAACACTTACTGCGCTGCCCTGGTCTGCTCCCCTCTCTAGACAGACGTGCTAAAGGACAGTTTTCTTCTGCTTTGTTCCTCCAGAGTGACCGACCCCACACCGCAGAGGCACGGCAGCATGTGGCCACGGCTCTGAGCGAGTAGGCCCCGTAGGAGACACCTGGCCCCCGCACTCTCCGCTGAAAAGCTGCCGCCAGGGGAGGACACTGGCCCCGTCCAGCCTGGCTGAACTCTCTCCTGGGACAGAACAGCAGTGGCCCACGTACAGGAACAGTTTCTGAACCAAGTACACAATTTTCCCGTGATTTCAGAATCAGGAGACATCATAAGTACAAATCATATCTAATCATTTATAAATTGTCTTTCTGGAACAGAATTACATTTGGTAATTAAGTTCTAAAATATACTGAAAAACCAAACTCGCATCATCATTTTTCAGATGAGATCAGAATTACTCAGCAGGAAATTTCCTACCCTTGGTGCATTTCCACCTCCAGTGAATTCTCAGTTAGGAAACCACGGCAAGAATAAATGCAAGTAACTTGGACTTAACTGGAAATGATCGTTTCAGAGATGAAAAACAATGTGCTTTTACAAACGATGCCAAGAACCCTCTGCGAAGTGCAACAGCTACAACTGTCAATATCATTTTCCCAAAACTGAAATATTGAAGCGAAGAGTGAAACGGAGCCGCTGCGCGAACCTGCCCCACAGAAGGACTGGGAGGGCCGGGTGAGGCGGCGCAGGCGGGGCGGGAGGGCCCGGCCCGCGCACACAGCGGCCGCCGGCAGCGTCGCCGCGGCCAAGGCTCCGGATCCACCTCTTCCAGGAGAACCGGAATCCTCCGTGTCCCGGTAACCCAGCTTACCTATTTTCTTTTTCTGTTGCCGCCCAGCTGACTCTGTTATTGTTTCCTTCTTCTTTTCCACTGTAAACACAGAGCAACACAGTAAAAATTAATGTGCGTTTCGCTAAAGAAGCAAAGTCTGAACCAGTGAAGACGAGCTTCGGGGAAAGTCCCGGGCTGCCTCCCACTGCGGTCACGGTGGAGTCCGCTGCTCTGCGCCCCTCCCCCCCCCCCACTTCGTGCAGGGGAGGGCGGGCCCCGCCGTTCTAAGCCCACGCACACCAGCTGCGCCGCAAGCGCCGCCACTTGAGTACCCGTAGGGGACTGCGGAACACAGCCACAATCTAGACAGGCGACCTCAGCCGCCAGCGGGCTCCAGCCCGTCCTCAAGCCCTGCTCTCCCAGGACGACGGCTCCCTGTAGCTGCGCGCTCACAGTCAGGACAGACGGCAGGGTTCACTCCTTCGGTGACCGGCTGCCCACCTGAGAGACGCTGTTCCAGAGAGAGAAAAAGATAAACAGGATCCGCGCTCTCTAAGGAGCGACCCAGTGAGGGCAGATGACCAAGTCACAATCATAACACAGGAAATGAGCAAAGCAGGCGTGGGCACCGGGTGGGAAGAGCAGGAAGGCCCAAAGAGCCAAGGCCAAGTTTTTTTGACGTGTTTCAATTCATAAGACAATAGAGCGACCAAAAGCTTTTGAAGAGGAATAGTGCATTCCATTTATATCTTATATTTACTATCTTTAGGTCCCATTGAATGGGCCAAGAATAAACATGTCAAAAATTATCTTTCCTCAGTTTATTTATATTATCTGTTCTGTGTATTATCTTACTACAAGGGGGACCCCCCCAAAAAAAAACAGAATTACCCTCTGGATGGCGGACCCCTCGTAGCCCAGGCTTCCCTCACTAGGTGTGTGTTCTAGGAGCCCGCCTGCCTCAGCGTGCCAGCTGGCGTGGTTGTGAGAGGCTGTGTTCTGCTTCAGTGAATTTTTTTTGAAGACTCTTTCAACACGTTTGCCCATGTCATGAGGGTTGATTTATGGGTGCACCTGCCCACACTGTGCTGAAGGGGTTCAGTAGTTTTTGAACAGAAACAGCATGATCTCCCTGTGTCCCACCCTCCTATTCACCCGATCCCGCTCTGAGTGACTTTTTTTGTTTCCCCAGATGAAAAAAGTCCTCAAAGGGAAACATGTTGCCGACGTGGAAGAGGTGAAACAAGAACAGCAGAAGCACTAAAAGGCATCAAAATCGTCAAGTTCAAAAACTGTTGAGCAATGGAAAAAAAAATCTTAATAGGTATATTGTAAGAAGAATACACATAAGAATAAATACCCAATTTAAACATTTTTTTATTTATTGATTTTTTGGCAAGGGAAAGAGACTGAATCATCGATTCGTTGTTCCACTTATCTCTGCATTGATTGGTTGCATATTTCATGTGCCCTGACTGGGTATCAAACCCACAACCTTGGCATATCAGGATGATGCTCTAACCAAGTAAGCTACCCTGCAAGGGCCTAAGTATACGATTTTTTATAAATACCGGTTTTGGGGGGTTCCCCCTTCAGACACTTCCTTTACTAGCAAACAATACAGGATGTGCACTCTTTCTAAAGGCAGCATTAAAGAGGACCGGCAGGCAGGACACCCCGCCTTCGTACATCGGGGGCGCAGCCTGAGCTCTGAGCAGAACTGGCATTGCCGCCTCAGGAAGGTGCCGTAAGGCTCAGCTGGACTGCGGCACTGCAAACGGGGTGGTGAAGCGCGTGCGCGTGCACGGGGCTGTTGGGCATCTAGGTAACAGGCACTTTTCTAGGTACATGAAAGGATGTAAGAAGAAGAGATTTAGAATAAACCTGCTAGTAAGAGGTCATAAAAGGAAATTAAGTCAAATTCTACAAGATGCCACAGAAATACCACTGTAAAAACAAAGCAGGGAGAAAACGCTGGCCGGCCCACTCTTTACCATTATTATCGCCCCCAAACAAAACCGTCCCTTCCCCACTGAGAAGCACCGTGACACAGCTGCCGGCGCTTCGCCGTGACCGTGTAAGCAACGGGAGAAGACAGAGCGAGAGAACACAAAACAAGATGATACCACGACGCTGCGCTGGCCTCCGCAGCCTGGACTGGGAACAGATAAGTTTTTTCTAGGGATAAGATACATTAATCTACTGTTTTTCGAACCCCGTGAGATTGCAAAAAGCCTTTGTGTTGACATTTATTCACCAGAGCCGCACCCCCTAACAGGCGGCGGAGATGGCGGAGTTGACAAGGCTAACACGTGTGCCCTGGAACACACTCTGCCCATGAGCTGGTACTGCCGCACTCCGAATTCAGGAGGCCTCTCAGTTCACAAGCCATTCGAGAAGCTCCCCTTGTTTTAATGCAAACGACAGAAACACTTCACACTTCACGATTTGTACTTAATAAATGCCCTCATGTAATTTTGTTACAGCAGCAAATTATACATACTTTAATCTTTTTCATTTACTGAAGTAACATGAAGATGTTCTGATCTTTAGGGCGCACCTGAATTTACTATTTAGAGACCTCCTGAATCAACCGACTTGGTACTTTTCTTTTTTTTTTAAAGATTTGATTTATTTACTACTAGAGAGAGGGGAAAGAGAGAGAGAGAAACATCAGTGTATACGGGAGACATTGATTGGTTGCCTCTCACATGACCCCAACTGGGAACCTGGCCCGCAACCCAGGCACATGCCTGACTGAAAATCCCACCGGCGACCTTTTGGTTCGCAGGCCAGGACTCAATCCACAGAGCCACGCCCGCTAGGGCCACCCACTTGGTACCTTTAAGAAAGCGTCTTTTGCCCTCTCTTTCCCTCTCTCTCTATGAAAGAGAGGGGAGGAGAAGGGAGGGGAGGAAGACAGAAAAAAAATGTTTAAATAAAAAAGAAAATATCTTTTGTCGAAGGCCCCGCACAGCAGGACAGCTTTCAGGATAATATCAGTATTCACCAAATAACACCAGAGATCAGGTCAGTATAAGAATCTCATCCCGATTCGAATCTACTTATATTTTTGCATTTCCCAAAAGCCCTACAAACGCTTCTTGCCCAGACCCCGACCGCTTTCTGAATACACAATGTCAGGAGAGAGCGTGTATTTGCAATAGGGCTTTGTTCAAAGAGGGAGTTTACCACATTTCTTCCCCTGACATGTCGCCTGTGCAAAATGTCATAGCTGTCCATTTGGTTAGAAATGTCCGGAAGACAAGGCCCATGCCCGTTGGTTCTGCATCGCACTTGCCACGGGAAACTCCACACGCAGCAGCCGTCAGAGGCTGACAGGCCACAGAGGAGAAACAACACACACGCCCTGAGTCCCGATAGGCGCCCTGAGGCAGAGGACTGAGCCGTAAGCAGCGCAGGCGGCCGCCGCCACCGCCAGCCTGCCTGACGCTGCCCTTCAGAGCGAGCACGCTGAGGGGCTACGTGGAAAATCACAACTACGGAAGCTTTGCCCGGCAACTCCAGCACTTTGGATTGAGGTGTAAAGACAACTACTCCTACGATGCAGGTGATTAGAGATGAAGCAATTAGTGTGGACACTGAAGGAGTTCATAGTCTATTTATGCAAATACTTCAGGTATGAGAATATTCATCCACGTTCTCACGGAGAACACGTGTGGTGTTACGCTACAGAGATCACTCATTCTTTGCTTTACACAGCACACCTGTATCGACCTGTGCCAGGCCCTGTGATAAGTGCTGGCGATAGCATACAATGGCCTTCGCCCTCATTGAAATTACAGTTTGGTTTGAAAGGACACTATTTTAACAATCATCAGCGTGCCTAGGTAAAAGCGTACTTATGACAACTTCCCTAAGGAGAGGTCTGTGGATAAACTGGAGCCCACGATAGGAAGGCTTGACCCCGCCCGAGAGGCTGGACAAACTAAGTCAGGAACGTTTTCCAGGCAGAGAGCACAGCAGGCAGAGAGGCCGGGCCGCAGCGCAGGAACGCGCAGGACGGGTCCAGAGGACGGAAAAGGCCCGAGTGGCTGCAGAACAGAGAGAAGGCAAAACAGGACAGCGGAGAGGTCAGGGGAAGGAAGAGGGGAAGGCGCGCGGTCACGGGGCCCTTGGAGGCCACGCCTTCATCCCCGAAGCAAGAGGAAGAAACTGAATGTTTCTAAGAAGGGTAAGTAACAGAATCAGATTTGTGTTTGAGAAATTGCTCTCGAGGTACCGTAGAGATTAAATTTCAGTGGCTGCAGCGAGGCCAACGAGGAGGCTACGCCAGGGCATCAGATGAAACGGGACAGACGCGCAGGACAGATGCATGGCCCAGGGTGGTGGCAGAGGTGGAGAGGGGTGCGAAGACCGAACCAGCCCAGGAGGACGGCAGGAACAGGGCGCGACCGTGGACGGCACACACAGGTGAGAGAAGAAAGGATCCCCTCGACGAGTCTCTATTAACCCTTCACCATGTGCCAGTCCCTGCGCGAGGCGCGTGGGCTACCACGGTGACCACTAGCTACAGCGCACAGCACCCTGTCCCAGGGAAGCTTTCATATCAATTTGGGGGGGGATCATCGGCAAACAGACCCCACAAATGAGTTCGCCAAGGCAGTGAGTGTAGAAGAAAATTGGGGACCACCCCCAACAACAGGAAGTCGAGGAGAGGAACCGAGAGGGGAATTGCAAGAGAACGACCAGCCGGAGGAGGACAAGGCCAGGAGTGTGGTGTCCAGTCTCTGTCCTGCTCTGCTGGGAGCGGGCGGTACCGCTGCCTGAACAGGGAACTCTTGGGAGAGGGTCGCCCCTGTGCAGGTCAAGTCAATGAGGCACTTTCAGAGATGCTGGGGGCACTGTCAGCGATAAGCAAGCGAAGAAAGAGTGATTCGAAAAGCCTGAGTCTGTCTTCTACCTCTTCGTTTGCTCTGCGACATTACCCTGTCCTTCAACCAGCTGAGCCTCCGCCTCCTTCTCTAGGAAGAAGGGTAATGTGCATGCAACTGATCGGAACCGGCCCTCAGGTGGATCGAATGAGACACTGCCAGGGAGGCAACACGTCACACCCTTATGAAAATGTAAAGAAAGGTCCTAGAACATGGGAAGGCATAGAATTTTAAGAAGCAAAAGTTACATTTAATCTTTATAAGGCAGAAAAGAACACCGAAAGCCTCTACGGAACCATCCTCATTAAACCTCCAGCAGCCCCCTCGGCTGTGTCCTCTGGAAATTCCCACTTCATTTCAAAGAGCAACCTTGCCTTGTCCCTGACCTTTCCATCGAACATGCCTTCCCAGCTGAGACACGACTTACCCCCGAGGACGCCACTTACCTTGACACCAACGCAATGACCGGCTACTTGCCAAACACACCTTAGTCCTTAACATGCCCCTATTTCTGCCCATTCGTCACGTCCTTTGTCTGGAAATCCTTCCCCCAGCTCATTCTCCACGCCAATGCCAGCCACCGCGAGGCCACCTGCGTCACAGAGGCTTCCACGGCGCCTGACACCGCGATATTCTGCATAAACGTCTTATCTTCCTAACTAGACTCCAAGTTGGAATCGCCTCGGCATTCCTCGCAGGTTTTCATATCAGCTGGTGCTCCTCAAATGTTCCCTGCGCATAGGGAGCCCGACCCATTGAAACTACTTCCGAACGGAGGCTGCCATACTCACGTTTTTTACTCTGTTTCTCCACTTCCGCCTTCAGTCTCTTGTACTTGTCTGTCCTGTAAACCAGGACCCAGGTGATACCTGCAACGGGAAGGGCAACGTGCTCACGGAGACCTGTTTGCAACGGCCCCAAGCACTGACGCGTCAGCCAAAGCACCCGGAGCGCAGTAGGAAGGCGTCTCCGCACACATGCCCGGGATCAAAGACACCGGTCACCGCGCGCACACGACCCCGCCCGCCCCTGCGCACGAGCTGCCTCGAGGTTCCCTGGGGTAGAGCAGATGGGCCCCCGAGCAAGCAAGGCTGGCGACCTGTCCCGCGGTGGCGCGAGCGACCCCCGGCCTGGGACCCTCCCCCCGGGGACAGCTCGAACGTCAGGGAAACAGCCGCCCTCACCCTCGGCGAGAAGAGCCGTGCACACGGAGATAAAGACGATGAGCAGCGTGTCCGCGAACATGGTGCTCATCTCGCACTTCCGGCTCTGCACTCCCACCCGCCGGGGGGAAGCGCTCCACGGCCACGAAGAATGCAGCGAAAGACACTTTCCCTAGACTTCGGGACCACCGAGGAACACCGCGACTCTGACAGCCCGGGTCCCACACTTCCGCTTCCGGGGCACAGCGCCGGAAACGCTCCTTCCGGGGAGGGGCGTGGCCGCCCGCACCTCGCGGAAACCGAGCCGCGGTCAAGCGGATCTCGCGAGAGGTGGGGTGGGGTAGCGGGCCGTCTTCGCGTGCGTTCTGTCGCGGTTGCGGGCGCGCCTTCCGGGGCGACGACCCACGGGTCTGGACTTGTCGGCGCGTGTCTCGGCCTCAGCTCTAAGCCGGTTAGGTAGCGGAGCCGACGTTTGCTGCAAGGTGGGAGGACAACTTCCGCCAACGCGTACGACAGTCACTGCACGCCCGCTGGGCCCGCGGAGGTCGTGCGCCCCTGGCCCCTGGGGACTGTGGCCCTAGCGAAGGAGGGACGCTGTGGGCACGGCGTGATTAGGGGCCTAGAGGTATGCGCCGGGGGCCGCGGCGGCCCAGTGGAGGGGGTGGTCGGAGACAGCGAGCCGGAGCAGTGGCCGCAGCGACTCGGAGCAGCAGCGCCTCCGGGGGAGGCGGGAGCACGCACGGAGCAGGGATTGGGGTGTCCAAGAGGCGGCCGCGAACCCGGGTGTCTGCGGAGGGCGCAGGTCAATCGACGCTCTCTGCAGATTGGGCGTGGCGTAGTGGTGGGAGGTGCCAGGATGAATGACGGGGCACTGTCCTGCAGCCGGCCCCCGAGCGAGAACGAGCACCCCGTTTCCAACATCGCCCCATTTTCCAGAAAAATCCAGAAGTCCTGATGGTACGGGAAAGTTCAGTTATGAGTGCTGGTAGCTCATTAAAATTAAAAGTTGCTGTATAGGTTCAAGAAAATGTCCCAGCAGCCTGGCTTCCGCCCGATAGTGTGTGTAAACCTGGAAGCCGGCTGAACTGTCTCCCCGTCACTCGTACTTGCTATGATTGGCTCCTTCCTCTTAGACTCCAACGCGCTGCTTTTCTAGTGCTCGGGTAACACTCCAATTGTCCTTATTTAGTTATATGTGCATTTCTCATCTTCTCTTTAGACTGGGAGATGGAGACCCTGTTCCTTTTAGCAGACGTTGAGCTCCTACCGCGGCAGGAACAGCGGTGGGCACTGTGGGGGCAGAGAGGGGGACGAAGGTACAATGAAGTTACCCGTTACAAGGAGGTATAATAGAGGTGTTTGTAAAATGTTAGGGGAGCACGGGTGAGGGCAAGATCTGAGGTCCCTGGAGGAGTTGGGAAGGCTTTCCATCTGAGCTACACCTTGCGTTGAGTGGTTCAGGTAGGGTAGGTTTTTATTCAGCTTTGTATGGCCCATGGTAAATGTGGGGGTGCCACAGGGGCGTGACCTTTGCAGTGAGCCAGGTTTCCAGTTCTGGCTGTGCCACTTCATCGACCCTCACCCTGAGCATGTTGTTGAGTCCTTGAGTCTCAGTTTCCGTCTCTGTCACACGGTGGTAATAACGCCAGCGGTGTGAGGCTGTCACAGAGATGACCTGAGGGAGAGCACGTGACAGAGCTGTTCTGGCACCCACGGCTCATCCTATCCATGTGCTCCGGACTGTACGGTGCGCCACTCTTTTATATCCCCCTAAGGAAAAATAAACAACTATTAAGCTGTGACACACCATTGATTGGAAGATGCATTTCATTCACAGGTACTAAAATGAGAGAAAAAAATGTGTCGCAATCCTTGAAATACACAGTGGAAAGCTTTGCGTTGCTTCCTGTGTCCAGGTGACCTGCAGAACCAGGGACCGCTAGGCTCACGCTTCCCCCTCTGGGGCAGCAGTGTCATGACCCCGAGCCCCACGCTAAAAACGGTGCTAGAGGCAAGTTCACGTAACATCGTTCCTGCGTCCTACCAGATTGTCCTATTTCCAGGTTTCCTAAGCTGTCGGGTTTTGCCCAGGAAGAGCGCTGGCCCCCCCCCCCCACAAAGTCCCGTGTGCTGCTGCAGTTTCTTTGACAGGCTTTGTCCTGAGACTTCCTTCCACTCTTCTCTAGGGTAGGGCTCACTACCCCTGCACTCACATCTCCCTCCTGAGTTGATACTTTGTTACATTGTGCACTCTCCGGTTACTTGCTAGGAAAGGTAAATGGGAGTCAACCTGCATGTCCTCACATCGTTAGTAGCATTGGTGGTAATGATACTGTTCTTTAAACAAACGTTCTGTACTGGGCTAGGCATTGTAAAAGGTTAAGAGAGAAATTAAATCCCTGCTTCTGAGAGGATGCGGGCTTTGGGTTTGACTCCTAACCCCACTAGTGTGAGCAAATGGTTCAGTTTCTCTGAGCCTCACTTTTTTCAAAATCTGTAAAGTAGAGGTAAAAATACCTGCTTTGCAGAATTACTGTGAAGATTCCTGAGGGTTGAGAGCAGGTTCTGGAGTCCGACCACTGGTCTCCAACTCCTCGTGTCGCCGCTCAACCAGATTTGCAGGTTTAGGCAAATTATTTCTTCAAACCAAGCCTCGGTTTCCCTGAATGCTGGGTGGCGTGTTAGTAGTACCTAAGCCCAAGGGGTCTTATTTGTTTCTGAAAGATTATATGAGTAAGATGTTTAGAATGGTACTTGGCTAGAAAGGGCACAGTAAGTGGTAACGGTTACTACTGGTTCTATTAAACCACAGTGTGTAATCTGTGAACTAGTTTTTCCCCTCATTCAGTTGATTTCCCTCTGACATTCTCTTCAGTAGCTTCAGTTACTGTGTATCCATGGATGATTCATGAAATAGCATCTGCGGGCCCAAGCGTCTTTCCTGAGCCTCAGACCCAGTGTGGCCAGCAAGCTCGGGAATGGAGGTGCTCGGTGTCACTAACCACTGGGAGATGCAAATCAGCGCCATGAGGTGCTGCCTCACATGCAGAAGAATGGCCTCTATAAAAACAAAGTGAGAAGATGCAGCTCGGTTGGTTAGAGCGTCGTCCCGACCGGCCAAGGTCGTGGGGTTGGCGCCCAGTCAGGGCCATGAAAGAATCAGCCAATGAATAGAAAGTGGGACAACAAATTGGTGTTTCTCTCCCCTGCCATCAATAAATAAAAAATTAAAAAATGCTGGTGCAGATGTGAAAATGCGAACCCTTGTGCATTGCTGGGGGGAAGGAAAACAGTGCAGCCGCTGTGGAAAACAGCATGGTGGTCCCTCAAAAGGTTGAACTTGGGACTCCTGTAAGGTCCAGCAACTCCACCCGTGCGTGTGTACCCAGAAGAGCTGAAAGCAGGGACTTCGGTGTCCAGCCGTGTGCATAGCAGCGTCATTCACCGTAGCCAAGGCGTGGGAGCAACCCAGGTGTATGTTGGGGGATGAATGGCTACATGAAAAGACAACACATACGTATAATGGAATGTTAGTCAGCCTTAAAAAAGAAGTAAATACAGCCCTGGCTGGTGTGGCTCAGTGGATCGAGCGTCGTCCGCGAGGCAAAAGGCCACCAGTTCCATTCCCGGTCAGGGCACGTGCCGGGGTTGCAGGCTCGGTCCCAGGCCGGGGTGCGTGTGAGAGGCAACCCATCGGAGTTTCTCACAGTGATGTTTCTGTTCCTCCTTTCTGCTCTCTCTCAATATAAATAAAACCTTAGAAGTAAATTCTGACATGCTACAACATGGGTGAGCCTGAAGACACTATGCTGAGTGAAATAAGCCCGTCACAAAAGGACAAGAGCTGTGCGCGCCCCCTGATGTGAGGCCCCGGGGGCGGGAGGTCCCGGAGAGGGAAGGCGGCGGGCCAGGGCCAGGCGGGGGAGCTGCTGTCCACGGGCTGTGGGGCTCCAGGCCGGAAGATGGACGGGCCCTGGCGAGGGGCGGCGGGGGGCGCGGCACCACAATGGCAATGTGCTCGGTGTCGCTGCGATGTACCCTCGGACGCGGTCAACGCGGGACGCCTGACGTGTGTGTGACCATAATTTTCCAGCAGTTTTTGCCCTGGCCCATGTGGCTCCGTGTCTTCCTGTAACCAAAAGGTTGTGGGTTCCATCCCTGGTCCAGGCGCCTACGGGAGGCAAGCAAATGATGTTTCTCTTTCTCTTCCTGCCTCTCTCCCGTCCCCTCCTAAGAAAAAGAAAAGACAAGACCAGTGCGGCCCTGGTGTTTGGACGTCCTGGGGCCAAGCAGAAGGTAGCTGGCTCAGTTCCGGTCAGGGGTCAGGCCCTGGGCAGGGTGGGGCATCGGCATTCCTCGCCCTCTGGCTCTCCTTCCCTTCTCTCTCTTAAAAAAAAGAAAAAGCGTGCCCAAGTCAGGATAAAAAGTTGTAGGTGGGACCCTGTGCAGAGGGTGGGGATCACCGGATCTCGTAACCCCTCCCGGTGGGAGTGTGGACCGCCAACTCCCCTCAGGAAGTTCGTTCCCCCATAAAGATAAACGTCTGTGTTCCCCTTGACCGGCCATTCTGCTCCGAAGTAGACGCCCAAAAGAAACTTGAGCGCCTCCCAGGGCCCGGGAACGGGACTGTTCACGCGGGCCTGCGCCCTAACATCCGAATCTGAAGACGGCCCAAGCGCCCACCTACGCAAAGCGTAACACACGGATCAGTCAGGATATACTTAAGCAGCATTCCCCGTGAACTCGCTACGGTTCCACGCCGCGATATGTCTCAGTTCCAGGGCGGGGCAAAAGTAGGTTCGCGGAGGGGAGTACACAGGACAGTTTATGCTTGTGGTGGTATTTATCAGTTACTGTATTTTCCGTACGGACCACTGTAAGCCTACTTTCCTTCCACCCAGTATAGTGATGCATGAAAAGATTAAGCCCTTAACAGTGATTCACAGCACGCGATAGAGATTTTATAAGTTAAGAGCTGGAGGAGTGTCCCCACCACAGTGTAGGATGTTAACAGGGAAAGCCAGAGAAGGGTGATGTCGCAGTCCCCGCCTTGGACGGGAAGAGGCCGGGCGACAGGACCGGAGGGCCAGAGCTGAACGCGGATGTAAATTCACGTCCCGGTTTCTGTGTTGGTGGTGATGTCATGGGCGTTTGTGTCATTTTAGTGAAAGAATGAATGAATGTCGAGGTCCTGGAATGCACCCACGAAGAGAATGTGTCGTCAGCCAAGAGATGAATCAA